TAGGAAAGCGGCCAGCTCACAGCAGGTGCTAGTCACATACTACAGGTCCTACATGATTTCCAGGCTTAGCAAACCATCTTTCTACATGTGTTGCACATGCCGCCGACACTGCTGCTTTCCCATCATACTCCTTACCTTACCTCCAGAAGCCACCATCCCTTCTGCATTTTAAAATGCTGTAATTTTAGAGCAGTTTTAGAGTCACATTAAAGTTGAGTGGAAAGTGCAGGGTTTCCATAGCCCCCTTTCCACCTCTGTATTTTTATCATGGAAAAAAAACGGGTGCACTTGAAGGAATGGGCTTCTTACTCACTTGCCCTGAATTTTGGGGTAATTGATAAGATTCCAGGAGCCTGTGTTATCTTGGGGTCACAGCTGCTCAGCCTCTTTGTAGCTGGTATAGGGGTTGAGGTTCAGGAGAATGTTTAATGGGGCCTTGGATGGCCCCTGGGGCTGGTTTGATTGGCGGAAGACAGTTTTTACCATATCAGAACTGGGCTGAAGGTCTTTCTCAACTATTTCTCTTGCTTGACCTCAGCCAAGACCCCGTAAGTGTGGACAGTCCCCTGGCCAGGAGACCCCAAATACATCCCCTTTTACACAACACGTAACCCATCTTTTGGTGAGAAAATTGGCTCAGGCTGAGTCTCAGCCCTTTGTTGAAACAAAGGTGTAAAGAGTCAACTTTAAGATACAGATTCCTAAGGTTTGCATTTCAGAAAGTCTAATTCAATAGGTCTGGGGTGGAATTCAGAAATCTGCATTTAAAAAAACCAACCCAGTGATTCTGGCGCAGGAAATCTTAGAATACCATGTTAAATAGAGTTCCTTCAAATAAAACGACCTTAGATAATGTCCTGGGTAGGAACTCTCCCATCAGATGGTGGCCTCAAGAACAAGGACTCTGCTCTGTCATCTTCAGACCAAGATGCCAGAGTGTTACATGGAATATTGCCCCAGGCTGGCAGGGTAGGATGGCTAAAGGCTCCAGACAGGTAGGCAGGAACCTCTCTTAAACACTTTGCGAGAGGAAGGCTGCAACTCTCCAAAGGTCCTTAAATGAAATGGAGGAGATAAGGCCCGTAAAAGCAGCAAGACAAATGTGAGGGGCAGATGGGAAATTAAGAGGCTGAACTTCTCAGTGCTGTCAGGTGTCAAACCTGCTCAAAAGAACACAGAATTCAAGGAGTAATTATATGTTGCTGCGTCCAGAAGGAACAGTATAGCAACTGAAACCTGTGAAGGTATGTGGTATGGGTATCTAGACTTCCTAGGAGGAAGAACAAGAAAGCTAGTCGTACACACACGCAGAGGAGGAAGATGTGTATGAGTACAAAGAGCAAGAAAATGAAGAATGATAAAATTAGGTAATTTATGGGGGAAACAGCTCACAAAAATGTGAACTATTCTCCTCATAGATGATCCAATACATTTCATGCTATAAATGTACAGTCCTGGCTCTTTAACTGGCCTATTCTCTGCTTGCTGGAGTCTGATTCTGAAGCTGGAAAACTGGAAAAAGTATCATATTAACAAACTGTAGCTTAGTCATTTCAGTAGGTCAGATAACAAAGTCCAGTCTGTTTTATTTTTAACCCAAATATTGCAAATATACAGAAAATTACCAGTACAAAGTTAAGCACATTTGGATTTATTTACACAATGCTAAAGAAATTTGAGTTTTATTTCCATTTTGTGGAATTATGGGGTCTGGTTTTAATATGTAACTGATGTGGGTCACTGAAACTCGATTATCCCACCTCACATGCAATTTTCTGTCCCAAAGGAATAGAAACTTGGGTTTTTAGGGCACATGCAGTAATGATCTTAATACTGCTTTACACACTCGTAGGAAGGCAGCTGTCCCACAGCTTGGGGAAGGACCACATGCTCAGAAAGGGAACGAGAGAGGGGAGAGGGCTGAACAACAGGCACATGGGGACCCTGAGCATTTCTGTGCACGAGGATAAGGAGAGTATGACTAAAACCCTCCTCCCTAGAGGTCCAAACACAGGAGGTGGGCCAAATCATCAAGGAACAGTCAGTCACCCGCTTGTGGCTGAGGGCATGCGGAGGATGAGAACTACATTAAGGATCTGGGGCATAGCAATAAATCATTACCATGTACACTATACAGTTTATACATGTATATATGTACACACATATATATATATAAAGGTACAGATTAGTTTATGTTATTCCTTATAAACAAGTACACTTAAGAATGTACTGGTGTGAAGAAATGCATACTGCAGGTTGTTTCGAATTAATGTTCTGACTCTTATTGTTATTATAATGCAACATAACCCAGAAATTGACATGCTCCTGCTATTTCAATGATGCTTCATGAGGGCAAGGCCTGGGCTCTGCTAGGGCAGGATGGTGCTCCTAGAGCTGCTACCCGAGTTGGACAAACCTGTGGCAGATGGAACAAAAGTCTGGCACCTGCTGACTCTGGCCCTCCCTGTCACTTCATCACACAGCAAATCTTAAAACTTTGGTTTTGTTCAAAGGACGTTTAAGTCCATGTTCATTTTCCTGCTTCAGGGAAGATGGCAACAAAGTTGAAAGACCAATCCCTTCCTGTTTTAGCAGTTCCAAGTATCCTGGATGAATACGGGGGCGAGGGGCTACACTGACAGTGAGCAGGATGCACTCTAGGTCATTGTGGACAGGTGTGAGGCTCTTGAGAGCGCTGCTAAAAGGAAACAGGGAACCTCTACCTGGATGGTTGGCCCAGAAACTACGTAATGACTAAACACCAGGCAAGCTCTGTTACCATGGGGTGGGTGTGGATGGCCCTGGGCTCCACTCCGTTTCCTGGTATTGTGACAAAGGCCACGAGAGAACTAGCTCTGGTTTACAGACTTGATGCAGGAGCCGGAGGCAGCCAGCACATTACCAGCCTCTCAGGGATGAAAGGTCAGCTTGGGCATGAGAGAAAGTGAGAAGTCCATTCAAAGGCAGACGTAAATTCTAAGTTCCAGTTACACCTGATCTATGCACTCTTCTGAGCCTACCCCAGAACTGCCACAACTCTCTGAAGGCTTTTATTCTTCGAAATAGGTTCCCACTGAATTAACAGCCTACAGAAGAGATCAGCCTGGTCTCTGGTCTTACTAAAGCCCAATGCCCCCTTATGTCCAGAGCAAAAAGAAGAGTGAATTCCTCACCTGGATTTAAGAACTCAGGCCACTTTGGATTGGTATGTCCAATCTCTTGTTTTGTTTTGTTTTGTTGTTTTTTCCCAGAGACAGTTTCACTCTGTTGCCCAAGGTGGAGTGCAGTGGCGCGATCTCGGCTCACTGCAACATCTACCTTCCTGGTTCAAGTGATTCTCCTGCTTCAGCCTCCTGAGTAGCTGGGATTACAGGTGCCCACTAACACACCCAGCTAAGTTTTGTATTTTTAGTAGAGATGGGGTTTCACTGTGTTGGCCAGGCTGGTCTTGAACTCCTGACCTCAGGTGATCCACCTGCCTTGGCCTCCCAAAGTGCTGGGATTACAGGTGTGAGACACTGTCTAATCTCTCTTATAATGCTAAATTCCGTTGCTGAAGACTCCAGAAACGATCTCTTCTGCTACATCAAGCCTGGGGGTTTACACAATGATATACTATGTTTTACCTTCAAAGATAATGCTCCTAACATGAGTAGGACAAATTAGAAATCTATATTTTTAGAAGCTGTAACGGATTTGGGCTTCTTACTCTCTGGCTGAGGGCATACATTTGTGAGTGAGCAGGTTGATAAAGAAAGCTAACTAGTCAATAATGAGAATGTGCCAGGCTGGCTATCTGTCTTCAAACCAATGGAGCTAGCCAGTCTGGAGTGGAAACCAGGATGGGGAGGGAGACCCATCAGTGGAGAGTCCACTCCCGCACTCTTGAGCAGTGACTCTTAAAGAGGGGAGGGGTGGTTTCTAAAAACATATTCAAAATTCCCATTACTTTTGTTTCAGCCATGAAAGACAGGAAAATGGAATCTTCTGTTCACCAAGGTGGCAAAAAGATGCTAAATACTGCTCGGAAAGAAATGCCACTGATCCTTTCCTAAAGAACAGCAAGTCATCTACAAGAAGGCAGCCCTGCTCAGAGATCAGCACTCGCACGCGTAGATTTCCAAGAGTTCTGAAGATAGCCAGCCAGCACTGCTTATCACACACACACGGTGACCCTGAACAACTGACTCCATCCCAAGAACACTGTGAGGTTCAAATGACATTATGTGAGTGAAGGTGCTCCGAAAATTTGCCAAGTTCCACAGAAATCCCAGATATCATTATAAGCAAAGAGCCCACATTTTATATGGTTAGAGAAGAATATTAAGTTTCCTACATCTACTCACAGTGAGTACATGCTGGGAGAAAGGTGAGTGGTGTAAATAGTTCTTTTCTGGACACCAAATTTACTTTATGCAGGAGGGAGGGTGGGACAGAGGCTGATGCTTTGTCATTTGTGAGCTGATGTATCTTTGGAATTATTTCTAATTTAAAACCATGCAAAATGAATGAGCAAAACGACCAGTGTACTCCAGCCCTAACTGTATTAATTATCTTCACAAAATCTGCTTTAACTTTGTTTTCTAAGTGAAGCTCCCTGACTCACTTAATTCTACTGCGGTTTCAGCGTCTCTAAAATTCTCCATCCACTCCCTCCCCTACTTTCCACACAGCTGTTAATCCATTCTGGGGAGGAGAGAACTTAGCCATCTGCTCACATTCTGACAAAAGTTAATTTGGTACTTTTTTAAAAAAACCGACTTTCTAGCTACAAAATAAACTAGCAGCAAATGGTATCTACCAAAGAATGTCCCAATCATAATCACTGGGAGAAACTAGGACCCGCACAGTAGCTACATTACGACCAAAAACTTTCCATACTATATTCCTATATAGCAAATATTCAAGCTGTATTAAAACAAATTATTGCAACTTTCCATTAGTATATGACCACTCCAGAATTCACCCAACCACATTCTATAATTTGTTTTAGAAAAATATCAAATGGACAACTTCTTTCAATCCAAAATAAGAACTCAATGTATCGCACAAAGCATCATCTAGACTGGAAGTGTGTTTTCAACTGGTTCCTCCAAAATTTTCATCCCAACAAATTACTTGGTAAAGCCAGAAAAAAGGGGTGAGGAGGAGAGCCTGGTAATAAAATTCTAATTTTTTAAGTCTATAAATCTGAACACATCTCTAGTCCTGGTTCTGTGTATAACAGCAATCTAAGAAGCAGCAGATATGCAGCCACTGTCATGATTCAGCAATGAGCCACACGACAGGTGAAAAGGGAACATGGAAGACTGTGAGGTTCCATCTTCAGGGGGCCACACTGTGCACCTGACAATCAACTCTAGGGAAGAGATCATTCAGCCTGGGCAGACTTTCAGCCCAGTCTGTACCCTGTCCTTGGGTAAGTCCACTGGCACACACACAAAGCACAGCTTGAAAGATCTCAGAAGAAACGAGAGTTTCTCTTTTAATAGGTGCTAAATCTAGTCAATTCTCTGCTGTTCCCTTCTTCCGGCCCCAAGCTAAAAATATTGCCCTGTAAGTTTTCCTGATTTACTATGTGGGATTCACATGGTTAAGTTAGTTGCCAAAGGGCAATTAACAAGAGTATTGCCTAATTTAAAAGGGGAAAAGAAAAATCCCTGTGGTCTGTGGTCTCTGGAAAATAAAAAAGGAAGTGGGAGCTGTGTGAGGAGCTGGTGTGCAGTGTTCTTGGAGTAGGGCTGTCCCAGATGGAGAAAAGCCGGCCAGGCTGTGCCAGCCTCTGCAGCCTCTGTTTTCATCTATATAGCTGCTTCGTGTCACCAGCAGAGCCTAGGGATGGTACCAAGTACACTGTGAGAGCTGATGCTGGAGTTGGCAGATGCCCTGGGGCAGGCGCCATGCAGAACACACAGAAGTGGGGTAAGCGAAAAGGTCCCTTCAAATTCCATCTCATTTCCCTTAAAAAACAATACAAAAGCCCACACTTTGCAAAGACACAGGACAGGAAAGAAGAAGTTAAAGAATTTAAAATGTCTCCCCTATTCTCAGAGCCAATTATAAAAAAGTGCTCAGGGTTCCCCACCCCCACCCTGCATTTCTTTAATGTAGGTCCTTTTGGCTTTGATGGAAGCAGCAGAAACAGAGCTGGGTCCCTCGCAATGGGAAATTTATTTCCCCGAAGTTGGAGCCACAGGGAGTGTAAGAGGTACTGTGGTTCCACCATCCATGCTGGGTCCAGCTCCTCTGAAGAGCTATTCCAAGAGGTCCTGAAAAAGACATGCACCATATTACCAACAGACCACAACACTCTTACTTCAAAAGCAATCACCTAGTTTCTGGGCTTGCCAAATCTTAGGGTTATTAAATTGCCTTCGCCCTGGCATATCTTGATCATGAATAGAAGACAGGTTTTTTTTTCAGGTGTCGGGACGGGGGACTACCATTCAAGAAGAAATAGCCTCACCTCATCTGAGTCATCATGATAACCACTTTTATTAGTGTGGGGGGCTGTGTCCAAAGCATCCACACCGTCCACGCCATTGGCCTCTGCATGCTGCTGCAGCACGGAGTATCGGTGCACCAGGAACCTGTGAACAGAAACCTCCTTTACACTCATGTGCCCCACAGGGGTGTTTCTTACAGGACTCTGGACTTTCTCCGTTTTATACACTCAGGAATGCATCACAGACACAGAAAGCACAGTCCATGGTTGACATATGAAAATGTAAGACACGAGAAGATTTGGGCCTGATTTTTCAGAAACAGTATTTGCAAGTACCTAGTTTTTGCCAAGAGCAGACTCAGCCATATGCTCTAGACTGGCTTTCTGGCTTGAACTCAGTACCTTGGATTGATTTGTGTTCCTTACCTTCCCCCACAGACATATTTCTTCACAATGAGCACTCCTGCTACAACTGTGACCAGCATCAATCCCACGATGGCCAGGATAATTGGAACAGAATTTGACTTGGAATTCTTGAGAAATTAAAACACAAACACAAAAGCTTTTAGGCATGTATATCCTAGGACTGAGGTCAAAGCAGCCACTCATTCCCCTCATCTCTTTATGAATGATCTGCAGTCCTGATGCACTTAATGATGGCTCTTTTCCAACCCCCCAAGATGAACCATCTCAGTGTTACCAGAAGAAGCTGGCATAGCTGGAATAGAGTCTTCTGAATTCCACCTGCCTTGAACCTTCAAATTTGGTGGCTTAAATGTCAAAGTTACACTGGAAGCCTTGGCAACTGCCTAGATCAGGTATGACTCCTCTGCACTACCACTGTTCACAAGTCTTGGGGCTTAAGGGTGGAGCAGGAAACGGAGACTACTATAACAGTGGGCTGAATGACTCTAGAACAGGGCCATTATCTGCGAAGAAGCTGTGTCAATGCTATACCAGGCAGGCCATTATATGACACCAAGATTTATTTTTTTACTTCATTTTTGATATGTTATTACAAATAAGCCTTGTCATATCATTGTTTGCATGTGACCTACCTGCTGGAATATATGTTTTCAGTGTATCCCATTGGAGGTGGAGCTGGATTCTGGAACAAGCTGGGTCCCTGTGGGTGGGAATCCTGTGCAATCCCACACACAAACACTCTGACAGCCACCAGGAGCCCAAGACAGGGGTGCACAGAAGGAGGAACTCGCCCCCTTACAAATACACACACTCACACACTCCTCTCCCACCATCTCCTTAATCCCACCCCTTGTCAGTCCTCATCCCTTAGGATGGCAGAGTGGAGGGGCTGCAGGTTGTCTAGCTTGACCTCTCCTATTATGGATTAGGAAACGGGCCTAGTGCTTCTTTATCAAGAGGTTTCTTCTTTACGCATCTCCAAATCCACAGGTAGTTGGATTTGGATGCAGTCTCATAACTTTTTTTTTTTTTTTTGAGACGGAGTTTCGCTCTTGTTACCCAGGCTGGAGTGCAATGGCACGATCTCGGCTCACCGCAACCTCCGCCTCCCGGGTTCAGGCAATTCTCCTGCCTCAGCCTCCTTAGTAGCTGGGATTACAGGCACGTGCCATGATGCCCAGCTAATTTTTTGTATTTTTTTTAGTAGAGACGGGGTTTCACCATGTTGACCAGGATGGTCTCGATCTCTTGACCTCGTGATCCACCCGCCTCGGCCTCCCAAAGTGCTGGGATTACAGGCTTGAGCCACCGCGCCCGGCCCTGTTTTGCATTTTTAATAGAGACGGGGTTTCACCATGCTGACCAGGATGGTCTCGATCTCTTGACCTCGTGATCCACCCGCCTCGGCCTCCCAAAGTGCTGGGATTACAGGCTTGAGCCACCGCACCCGGCCAACTTTTTTTTTTTTTTTTTAAATTGACACAGGATCTTGGTCTGTCACCCAGGCTGGAGTGCAGTGGTAAGATCACGACCCACTGCAGCCTTGACCTCCCAGGCTCAGGTGACTCTCTTGCCTCAGCCTCCTGAGTAGCTAGGACTACAGGTACACACCACCACATCCAGCTACTTTTTTTTTTTAAAGATGGGGTTTCTCCATGTTGCCCAGGCTGGTCTCAAACTACTGGCCTCAACTGATCTGCCCACCTCAGCCTCCCAAAGTGCTGGAACTATAGAGGTGTGAGCCATTGCGCCTGACAGGTAACTTCTTCTAAATCAAAACCAGCCCATCACCATAGCTCAATTTTTCACTTTGAAGATACTTAACACGACTTGGTCAAAGATCACCCTACCTATTGCCCAGTGCTCTTCTCTTCCACACATGCACACCTCCAGGTCATGGCCCTTCACAGTGTTTTTTTTTGGATATGGAATCTTGCTCTGTGGCCCAGGCTGGAGTGCAGCAGTGGGATCTTGACTCACTGCAACTCCCACCTCTCGGGTTCACATGATTCTCCTGCTTCAGCCTTCCGAGTGACTGGGACTACAGGTGTGCACCACTACAGCCAACTAATTTTTTTAATTTTAATTTTTGTATTTTTAGTAGAGACAGGGTTTTACTCTGTTGGCCAGGCTGGTCTCAAACTCCTGACCTCAGTGATCTGCCCACCTCAGACTCCCAAAGTGCTGGTATTACAGGTGTGAGCCACTGCGCCTGGCCCACAAACAACCTTTTTGGGCTTTTCTAAATGACTCTCAGCCTCAGAATTTTCCACAACTGTATGATTTTAAGAATTTTACAACTTTACAGAATTTCATCCCCTCACCCTCAATAAGAAAAGAGCTTTCAGTAGGGTGAGCTTATCACTGGGTTACGTGACCCATCCTTAATGCTAACAGCCACCTATGTATAGGGAAGCCTGACCACTTTGTATCATTAACAAAACTTCCAATGCTTTAACTTTGATTTTTCTTGGCAGAAGACAAAATCCTATTTGTACCTGAAAACTAGACCTACTTTAACATACCTGCTTTTCCGGACTCAAAAAGTTGCTTGTGCATTTCTTTTTCAAGTCTTTTACTTCTCGAACTGGATTTACCCCCCCCTGGCATTTGTCCCCTGGAATTTTCCGGTACCTACCAGGCAGAGAAGATTTGATAACATAAGATAAGGATGTATTCCTGGGTCCCTGCCTATTTCTTGGAAACATGACTTGAAAAGGTGCCAAAAAACTTCCCATCCTTATGTCATCTTTCAGGCCTAGGAGGATGTCCACAGGGATGTTTTGGGGGATATTTTGTGTAGTTTCAGGCCTTTAGCAAACTAAGCATCTCTGTCCCCTGCTGCCAGGAACATGTCTGTCCTTTCTACCTAAGAGGCTGTGCCAAACAAATGTGACCCCAAAAAAGCTTGTTAACAAGTGGTACAAAATGGGAGGGCAGAAGCTATCAGGGGAGGGAGGTAATGAGGCCCCTTTAGAGCAGCATGTCCAATATGGTGGCTACTGAAACTAAAATTGATTAAAATGAAAATTTCACTTCCTCAGTTACAATAGTGTCTATAGCCACGTGTGGCTAGTGACTACCACATTGGACACAGCAAATTACAGAACACTTCCATCACCAAAGAAAGTCCTATCAGACAGAGCTCTTCCTGCCTGTGCCTAAACTGCCAGATGAGCAATGGACATTCATGGCGGATGGGACGCTTCTGTCATTCTGCCCGTGGGCCCCTCGCCTCTCCTCCCTGCCTGGGGGTGGTGGACAGAAGGCAGGGGTGCAGGATCTGGCCGAGCTTGTTCTCTCGCCCTCTGCCTCCTGGTGGTGGTGGGGTTGAGTCCTCTGACACCAAGCACCTGTGGCTTACCTCTTGTAGCTCCCTTGAGGGAGGCCTTCACATCCTGCTGCCCCCCCAACCCCTCCAAAAAGAGTGCTCTGAAGTAGGGCTTGGATCTCAGTGTGGAAAGAAGAAGTTTTCTTTCTGGACAAGGACACCTCATCTGTCATGACAAGGGAGAAAAGGCCACCTCACCCATTTGTTGTTAGGTGTTCTTCTCTTCCGTACAGACAAAACTCCAGGTCGTGGCCCTTCAGTTCCGGCTGCTCCACACACTTGGAGTCATTTTCTGGACGGTAGTAGCCAAAATCACTGCAAGAGTCAGCAAATAAAGTACCTTTCAAAGCAGCTGGAAGACAGTAAGTGGCTGGCAATGAAGGGTTATGTGGGGCAGTGGATGCTTAACATTCCAGTCTTGGGTTGTTAGAAAGTAGCTCAGGAAGGCCTGTGACACCTCTGAAGGAGGCTCACTTAGGAAAACAGACATGGAGAGGGCTTCTTTTTTTGAGATGGAGTCTCACTCTGTCGCCCAGGCTGGAGTACAGTGGTGCCATCTCGGCTCACTGCAACCTCCACCTCTGGGGTTCAAGTGACCTTGCCTCAGCCTCCTGAGTAGCTGGGATTACAGGCACGTGCCACCATGCCCAACTAATTTTTTTACTTTTAGTAGAGACGGGGTTTCACCATGTCAGTCAGGCTGGTCTCAAACTTCTGACTTCGTGATATGCCCATCTTGGCCTCCCAAAGTGCTGGGATTACAGGCACGAGCCACCGTGCCTGGCTAGAGAGAGCTTTATTGAGGAAAAGCAGCTTATGGGTCTGACCTGGTGGGCGTAGGACTAGCTAGGGTCCCAAGGCTGTGCACTGCAGGCAGCTCAGGTGCAGGGCAGGGACTGATGCAGCCTGCAGTAGGGTGGGGACCCACACAGAAACCTTGGCATCAGCAGCAGCTTTCAATTCAGGGATAGTTGGCAATTCTTTTCTCTCTCTTTTTTTGTTTTGAGACAGGGTCTCGCTCTCTTGTCCAGGCTGGAGCATAGTGGCATGAACACTGTAGTCTCAATCACCTGGGCTCAAGTGATCTTCCCACTTCAGCCTCCTAGGTAGCTGGAACCACAGGCACGCACCACCATGCTAAACTAATTTTTTGTAAAGATGAGGTCTTGCCATACTGCTCAGGCTGGTGTTGAACTACTGGGCTCAAGTGATCCATCCACCTCAGACTCCCAAAGTGCTAGTATCACAGGCGTGAACCACTGTGCTTGGCTAATTTTTGTATTTTTTGTAAAGACAGGGTTTCACCGTATTGCCCAGCCTGATCTCAAACTCCTGAGCTCAAGGGATCCACCTGCCTCAGCCTCCCAGTTTTGGGATTACAGGCATGAGTCACTGTGCCCAGCCCGAAATTCTTTTCTTTATCTCCAAAGGTCATTATGATGTTACTCTTGCGGTACATAGCAAATTTTTTCTGTCTTCCCCACTTCTGTTCCTCTTAGCTTCTTGTATAGTCTTTGCCTCCCATTCTACTCCATCTCTCCATAGGGCCCTCCATTGCTCTCCTTTTTCTGCTTTCCCCAAAGAAACAATGTCTACTGTCCCCATGAGCATCCTTGGTCCCTCTCCTCCAACCTGCCCTGGGGCCTTGCTTCCCTGAGTATGAGCGGAACAATCAATCTCTCCCACTCGGCTGGCAGCTTCTCCTTAGCCTGCATATGTCTTGACCTTAGAAATTACTTCCTTAACCCACCTCTCCCTTACTACCCACATTTGTCAAAAGAATATTTTTTTACTTGTCGTAGTTTATGCATTTGTTTTTTCTTCCATGCATTTTGGCTTCGACCCTCTCTACAACTTTGAAAGTGAGTGTCTGGGCTGGGCGAAGTGGCTCGCGCCTATAATATTAGCACTTTGGGAGGCTGCGGCAGGCAGATTACCTGAGGTCAGGAGTTCAAGACCAGCCTGGCCAAGACAGTGAAACCCCGTCTCTACTAAAAATACAAACAATTAGCCGGGTGCAGTGGCGTGCGCTTGTAATCCCAGCTACTCGGGAGGCTGAGGCAGGAGAATCGCTTGGACATGGGAGGCAGAGGTTGTGGTGAGCTAAGATCACACCACTGCACTCCAGCCTGGGTGACAGAGAGACTTCATCTCAAAAAAAAAAAAAAAGAAAAGAAAAAAGAAAATGAGTGTTTGCAGTGTCCCCAAGGCTCAATAATCATCAAATTCAGTGGAGTTGCCTCTGGTCACATTCCCCCGACCACCCATTCTGCAGCATCTGACACACCGTTGTGCCCTGCCCACCTTGGCAATGGCAAAGCTGCACTCATCTGTGTCTCTGGCCACCGTATGCTCTTCTTTTTTCCTAACCCATAAATGTAGTCTTTTGCCAAGGGGTGGGGGGGAGGTAGAATGCATTCTCTTGCTTTTTCTCTGTCAGTTCTCCCTTAGTGATCACAACTATTTTGGGGTTACAACTAAAACTTCCAGGTTTTACCTCTCTCAAGTTCGAATCCTATATTTCAAATACATGCCGGGTATCACCACCTAAATATGCTAACAAAACCTCAAAGAAACAAGACGTTTCTCCTTTGTGCCGGACTCTCCTTATCCCTTCCGTATTTGCCCATGACACTACTTCCTTCCCACTATCGCAGTGGAACACTTAGCCTGAGCATCCTCCTTTCGGACCCTTACTTCTTTATCATGGCTACTATGACTTCCCCAATGGCCTATCTTCCAGAACACCCTTCCTTGATCATGCTGTTGTTGTCTCTGCTCACAGCAGTCCACTGGCATTGATGACCTGCTTCTTCCCAGATGCTCATGTTCGAATCCTACCATTTGCCAATGCTCAGCTCATACCACCTCCTCAACAAGGCCTTCTGTGACCCACTTCCTTTCAGCTCTAGATGAAATATTCTCTTCCTTTTCTAAATCCCCATGGCATCTGCCACCTTCTGTTTTGCAACAAATTTTCCATTATCACTTTTTTCATTGCCTGTGCACAGCTGGTATTAAATGAGTATTTGGGGAATATATAGATGCCGCTTGTATTTCAAGGTTTTCCTGTTAAGTATTTAGGAGAGTGGGTATAGAGAACAAAAGATGCTGAAGATATCACCCCTCCTATAACAGGAGGAAATTCAGTTGAGAGTTTTAGGTACTCAATCCAAAAATTCTGGATTTTGTGAGTACCCTTCTCACTAATAAAGGACCCAATTTCCAAACATGTGGGCTTTGGAGGTGAGATGCCACCTTCACATCCCAGCTCTTCCAATTCCCATGAGCAAGTCAGTCACGTCCTCTCTGTTGTGAGGTTAAATGTAAATTGCCTAGGATAGTGCCTCGCACAGAGTTAGTGCTCAATAAATGTTAGTTGCTATCATGCTTACTACATTATTATCAAATATAATATGCTCCCAAGAAATGTGAGGCTTAATGGTGGAAGCAAACCTATAAATAGTAATTAAAGGGCTGGGAGCAGTGGCTCACGCCTGTAATTCCAGCACTTTAAAAGGTAGAGGTGGGTGGATCACCTGAGGTCGGGAGTTCGAGACCAGCATGACGAACATGGAGAAACCCTATCACTACTAAAAATACAAAGTTAGCCGGGTGTGGTGGTGCATGTCTGTAATCCCAGCTACTCAGGAGGCTGAGGCAGGAGAATCACTGGAACTCAGAAGGCAGAGATTGCAGTGAGCTGAAATTCAGCCTGGGCAACAAGAGTGAAACTCCATCTCAAAAAAAAAAAAAAGTAATTAAAACATAGTAAGTGCTGTAATAGAACTCTGAGGGTCTAGATGAGGGAAAGCCCATCTAGTGGTGATACCTAAGCTAAGTACGAAAGGCTAAGTGGGAAGTCGCCAGACTTGGGGGTAAAGCAGGGACTGTGGAGAGACTTTCCAGGCAGAGGAGGCATCATGTGCAAAGGCCTGGAGCTCTGAAGAACCATGGCATAGTTGGACAAGAGGAGAAGCACAGGTGAAGAGCCTGGCATACATGGAGTCGAGGATGGGAGAGAATCCTTTAGAGTATTACAGGTTCATTGATGACCTCTAGCCCTACTGGAACACCAAAGGTGATCCTTACGGAAACAGAGAAGGGAGGACCCTTAAGCATGGCAAACACAGGTGTGAGCCATGCAGGAGGAATCACACTGTGTCAGATCTGCATTTTGGTTCGACCTGTATTCTATTGTCACCTGTGGTTTGAGAGAACATCATGCCCAGGGCCACGGCTACTATCTGCCTGCCTTCTTTGTCCAAATCCTTTAGGATCTACTTTTATTTTGTGTCAGTATCTTTCGCAGGTAACAAGTTCCACAGATTTTATCTGTGATGTGAAGCAGTTCCGCTCATTTGCCTGAAAATTACCTCATTTATGCTATCCAGGGACTCCTTGCCCTTATATAATCAAGTAACCCTATGCCAGCCAAGCAACTAATCCTTAAGCCTGGATGATCCTGAACTCTAGGGAGTCCACTTTGATGGCCTCTAAACCTTGATGGGACCATGACTATACTGATGTCACCTCTAGTCTTAGGACCAACCACCATCTCTCTGTCTTTATTCTTGGAGAGGATCCAAAACCTAGTGTCCCACCTGCTGAGCTCACACTGTCAGGCTGTTTTCTTTTTCTTTTTGGTTTGAGATGGGGTCTCGTCATATTGCTCAGGATGGTCTCGAACTCCTGACCTCAGGTGATGCGCCCACCTAGGGCTCCCAAAGTGCTGGGTTTACAGGCATGAGCCACCATGCCAGGTCTCAGGCTGTTTTCTCAAGTCCAATTTCCTCTTTGCTCCTCTACCATTTTTTTTTTTGGTGTTTTTGTCTTTTCATTTCCTACAGATTTTTGTTTGTATTATTCTCTTCTTTCTTATATCACTTCTCTCCTTCCCACCACTGTCAACTCAGGATTTCTGGGGTTTGTTGCTGGTTCTGCCCAATAATTAACTGTCTAATGTGATTATATTATCTGTCCAATTATTAACAATTTTGGTTTCCTTTCTCTGTGCCTCAGTTTCCTTGATAAGAAGCAGCAGTTCTACACTGATGGGGAAAAGGGTTTCAATTTTTTTGAGACAACAGTCTTGGCTGGGTGCGGTGGCTCATGCCTGTAATCCCAGCACTTTGGGAAGCTGAGGTGAGTGGATCACAAGGTCAGAAGTTAGAGACCAGCCTGGCCAATATGGTGAAACCCTGTCTCTACTAAAAATACAAAAATTACCCGGGTGTGGTGGCAGGTGCCTGTAGTCCCAGCTACTTAGGAGGCTGAGGCAGGAGAATTGCTTGAACCTGGGAGGTGGAAGTAGCAGTGAGCCGAGATCACGCCACTGCACCCCAGCCTAGGTGACAGAGCGAGACTCCATCTCAAAAAACAAAAAGAGTCTTACTCTGTTGCCCAAGCTAGAGTGCAGTAACACAATCTTGGCTTACTGCAACGTTTGCCTCCCAGGTTCAAGTGATTTTTGTGTCTTGGCCACCTGAGCAGCTAGGATTATAGGCATGCGTCCCCATGCCTGGTTAATTTTTTTTTTTGTAGAGACAGAGTTTCACCATGTTGGCCAGGCTGGGGTCTTGAACTCTTAGCCTCAAGTGATCCATCCACCTTGGCCTCCCAAAGTGCTGGGATTACAGATGTGAGCCACTGCACCCGGCTGGATTTCAATATTTGTTAGCCGTATAAGGAAACTGTCTTTCACCTCCTCCAACAGGGAAAGGGAGACAGAGCAATCTGAAGAATGCTGATACCAGAGAAAGTCCTCCAGGGAACAGAGGCAGATGGAGGGCTGCTTGGTCACAACATAGTCTCGACCATTCTGACACACGGATGACTTGCGTAGCCGCAGAAACTGTTCTTTATAGCCCAAAATGCAGCCATCTTCATAATCTTCAGGGTCTGTGGAGTGTGCCAGCCATATGGTATAGTCCTTCTCTTCACCTAAAGGAGAGAGAGACTGTTCAGGAAAGTGCACAGCACAGAACCCACCCACGGGAGGCAGCTGCCAGGCTATAGGAAGAACAAGGAGAGGGAAAGTGGGAATGTCTGACTCAACCTATTGCTTCATTTTGGAATTGCAAACAAAAAGTTACATTAGTCTAGAGCCTACTAGCAATTGCATTTCCTCCTGCCAAAAGAGTATTCTTTCCATCTCAACATCCATCTGAGGACTAGGAAAAACTCTATTTGTTTTAAAGTGGGAAGATGGATAGAAAATCTCCGAAGTTCCTTCCAAACTAAGATAACTAAGAGGCTGCTGTCTGTGTGTCTTGCATACCTACGTTCTCGGTCAGCAGGAGCTGTCATAGGTAAGCAACCAGATATTCTCCACTCAGGGCCAGAGAGCTCTTTGTTTAGGACAAGATACTAATTAGCCAAGAGCACAGGTTCAAATTCACCATGTGTTCATTGGCTTAAAGCAGAAGGGAAAACATCCTCTTCCTAGACTTCTAGCTCTAGTTGACCGGTTCTCAAATGCAGATTGTTGATAAACATGGTTTCTGGCTTAGTATGTCGTATCATCTACTGGAAAAACGACGCAAATCCTGTGACCTAAAGACAGTGGATTAGGTTTTTATCCTTCGGGATATGAAGACCAGCATAGAGCCTGATAAAGAGCAGGTGCTTAACAAATCTTTTAATGACATTAAACTTTAGGGGTAACTGGAGAACTGCCTGCTGAGGGGAGAACTCCTAAGCCAGCTTCTGTATAGCCTACTGAATGGATTTAGATGACAGCGACCCTCAGGCATTACATCTATTTGAACGTCTTATGGAAAAGTAAGGTTCAAACCAAGGGTCTGCTCCCTTAGGAGTCACTGAATCAACATGCTGAGGAAATGAGCCCATGATACAGTCTCAAAGGACCAAACTGAACTGAAGTTGAATTTGGAGCTTAACGTCTGCAAACGTTAAGTATTTTATTGTATTATGCCAACTCGCAACTACAGGTCATCCTTTCTCCAGCGTTTTTCTTTATCCTACTTATCTCTTAGTATACTGCCAGCACCTTTGTTTGGCACTGAGGTCAGGGTTTGCTTGTGACACTTCGGGAACACTGTGCAATGCATACTGTGAATCCTTTCCTGAAGCTATTTTCTCGGCCTTTAATATTGCTTAATGTTGAAATGATAATATTTTGGATATATTAAGCTTATTTTATTCCTATCACCTTCCTTTTCACTTTTATAATGTAGCTGACAGAATAATTTCAATGACATATGTGGCCCTCATATTTCTCCTGGACAGTGCTAGCACCGAGAAGGAGGCTGTTTTTCTGATGCCATTCCATTACTTAATCACCCACACAAAACATCTGTCAATCCTCTTTCATATGCATACGTATCTGCTGATTTCAGCCAAAATAAATTAAACCATATTGATTATTTAGGAAAATAAGCTTACAAGTTTCTGGTAGAAAAGGTCAGAGGAGACACTCACAGTTCCTTTCAAGGATATCTTTAAAATCAATGGTGTAGGAGACCCACTGGCTGCTCAGGAAAGATTCTGTGAAGCCCCAAATGCTGATATTCATGGATCTAGCTCCAGGTTCTGAAGCTAGGCCAGTGAAATAGATGGGGTCCCTGGTGAATGTGTAGGTTTGCCAGCATTGACCTTCGTCTGTGGAGAACCTGAAACCACAATTAGAGAAAGATCATGACAGAGAATCAACATGTACTGGGAATTCAGGAAACCACTCTGGCTGTTTGATCCCAAACCAGACAAAACCCCTTATATTTAGGTGATGGCTTATTGGCTCAGAACTATTTTAACTTTTTTTTTTTTTTTGAGATAGAGTCTGCTCTGTCACTAGGCTGGAGTGTAGTGGCTGCAATCTCAGCTCACTGCAACCTCTACCTCCTGGGTTCAAGCGATTCTTGTGCCTCAGCCTCCTGAGTAGCTGGGATTACAGGCACATGCCACCACACCCAGCTAATTTTTGTATTTTTAGTAGAGACGAGGTTTCACCATGTTGGCCAGGATGGTCTTGATCTCTTGACCTCATGATCCACCTGCCAATGGGATTACAGGTGTTAGCCACTGCACCCGGCCAACTCTTTTAACTTTTAGTGTCTGTGGTTATCAGGCTAGGGAAAAGAGATTAATTCAGAGTATGAAAGTAAATACCTTTACAGAAGTTATTTCAAAGGAAAGAGAGGAGAGTGACCCAGGTAAGAACTGGGTTTTAAATTAATAAATTCAAGGCTGGACGTGGTGCATGGCCTTGAAATAAATAACAATTAATTATTCCAATTAATATTGAAATAATATTAGAGACAAGGTCTTGCTATGTTGCCCAGGCTGGTCTTGAACTCCTGGGCTCAGGTGATCCTCCTGCTTTGGCCTCCCAAAGTGATGGAATTACAGGCACTGCACCCGACTCAGAAAGAACGTTTTTAAGAAGTGACAAATTTGTTAGCTAGAGGCAGTCAGAGGAAAAAGCAATACCATTTAATCTCTGCTGCCAATTAAAAGCAATCCTTTCTAGAATCTTACCTACAGCTCTGTCGAATGCAAAAATTTGAATCATGGTCTGTAACATCCCCCCAGTAAACTGCAGAACATTCCCCTAGTTGCCCTCTATGCAGACAGTGTGTGAGATGAGCTCATGCATACTTAATCACATTGATAGGACGGCTGCTGTGCTCAATGGCCACAATGATGCCTCCAGAATCCAGGATGGTGTAATAGTGGGGTCCTTCCAGCATCTTTGTCCAAGAGTAGCCCCCATCATCTGAGATGTACACATCTGGAACCATCACTGAGATGGCATCCCCCACGCTACCTGCAACATAATCCGCCATCTCATCAGCACAAATAGGCAATGAAACAGAGAGGATTTACTCATGAGTGAATAATTTTGAATGAGTTTATTCTGATTATTTCCCATCAAGCCTCTTTTAGTAGCTCCCCAGAACTTGGGAGTAATTGTGTTGCTCTTGTTGATGGGAGTTGATGAAAAACCCAAAGTATTGTTATAATGTAAGAAATTCTACCAAAAGAATGTAAAAACATCCACAGTGTTTCTTCTCAGAGGGTTCAGAGCCTGTGGCTAAGTTTCGGTGTGCTCAGCCACTGTTCCAGCTGGAGGTGGTGAGTGGGAGCTCCTTACCATGAGCAATGACAATGCCTACGGCATTCGGCTCTGAGAGTGGGGCCATTGGAACATTCAGTTTCTGGGAGATGCTGTATGAAGCATGAATATGAAGGCTGCACTGTGAAGAAACAAAGGCTTAGATTAAAACCAGAGACAATTTCTTTAATCATCTTACAGAGCCCTTCCAATAAAACTTTAAGTTAACCCAGACCTAGATAAATGTACCATCTTAACTATTTATTTAGGTATATAGTTCAGTAGTGTTAAGTATATTCACATTGTTGTACAACAAAATCTCTAAAACTTTTTTATCTTATAAAATTCAATCACCAATTAAGCAACAGTTCCCCACTTCCTTCCTCCTGCCAGCTCCTGGAAACTACCATTTTACTTTGTGTTTCTATGAATTTGGCTACTCTAGGTACCTCATATAAGTAGAATAATATAATATTTATCATTTTGTGTCTGGCTTATTGCACTTGGCATAATGTGCTCAAGGCTCATCCATATTGTATTAATAGCTATGTCAGAATTTCTTCCTTTTAAAGGCTAAATATTATTTATTTGTGTATGTGTGTAACTGTATCCACATACACCCCACATTTTATTTACTCATTTATCTGTCAATAGACACAAGCTGCCTCTACCTTTTGGCTATTGTGAATAATGTTGCTATGTACATGGGTATATAAATATCTTTTTGAGACCCTGCTTTCAATTCTTTTGGGTATATACCTAGAAGTGGAATTGCTGGGTATGATAATTCTATTTTTAATTTTTTAAGGAACTACTATACTGCTTTCTGTAGCAGCTGCGCCATTTTACATTTTCACCAACAGTGCACCAGGGCTCCAATTTCCCCATATCCTTGCCAACACTTTTTAAAATAGTAGCCACCCTAATCTGTGTGAGGAGACTCATTGCGGTTTTGACTTGCATTTTACTAATGATTAGTGATGCTGAGACTCTTTTTATATGCTTGTTAGTCACTTCTATATCTTTTTTGGAGAAATGTCTATTCAAGTTCTTTGCCTATTTTTTATCCAGGCTATTTATTTGTTGTTGAGTTGTAGCTCAGTGGCATACTCTTGATTCTGAAACGTACTAGAATATTTGGAAGCAAATATACAATTATTTCCTCACATGTAACCTGTCTCAGTTTATTTTTGCATTACATCAAAGCCTCTGACAAATGTTTAAAGCATGACTCTACACAAATAAACCTGATAACCACCTGATATACCTCAGACACTGTAAGAGATGTGGTGGTGGTTTGAAATAAGATCCAGTCTTGTCTTTAAGAAACCAGTGTCTAAGGCTCCAGGCCCACTCTCACAGACCCAGGCTCTAGGCCTGCCCCCAAGGTGCCAGGCCCCAGGGCCCAGCCAAGTGGACCCCTGCATCAGGCCGGCCCCTGCAGGCTCTGGGTAGGGCCCACCCCTGCATCAGGTTGGCTCCTGTATATCTACTGGTGTTCCAGCTAAAGATCCAGGTGTTCCATCTAAAGATCCACTTAACAGGTCTACCCTAGTAGATCCTACTGCCAGGCCTACCTCAGTGGATCCAGCCTCCAAGCTACCCCCAAAGACCACGGCACCAGGCCCACCTACCTGCATAGCCTATAAGTTGCCCCCCAAGAATCTCTGGATGAGCTACCTGGTAAGGGCTTTCCCTGCTGAAGCCATCTGTAAAGGACTATGTGTGTAAGGGGGCACACAAGCTGAAAGTAGAGATCAAAAAAAGATACTCCACACAAATGGTAGCCAAAAGAGAGCAGTGGCTATATTTATATCAGACAAAATAGACTTTAAGTCAAAAACTATCATAAGAGATAAAGTTACTACTCAATGATAAAGGTGTCAATTCATTAAGACCATATAACAATGGTAAATATAAATGCACTCAACATTAGAGCACCTACATGTATAAATCAAACATTAACAGAACTGAAGGAAGAGGTAGACAATAATGCGATAACAGTAAGGGACTTCAATACTATACTTTCAACACTGGATAAATCATCCAGACAGAAAACAAATAAGGAAAGAGCAAACTTGAACAACACCATACAAATGGACCTAACAGACATTACAGAACATTCTATCCAACAGCAGCAGAATATACATTCTTGTCAAGTGCACACAGAATATTCTCCAGGATAGTTCATATGTTAGGCCACAAAACAAGCCTTAATAAAGAGAAGACTGAAATCACCTCAAGTATCTTTTCAACTACAACATTATGAAACTAGAAATCAAAAACAGGAGGAAAATTCACACGAATATGGAAATCGAACAACATATTCTTGAACAACCAATGGGTCAAAGAAAAGGGAAATCAAAAAAATATCTTGGGACAAATGAAAAGAGAAACACAACATACCAAAACTTAAGGGATGCAGCAAAAGCAGTTCTAAGAAGAAAGTTTATGGTGATGAATTAAGAAAAAAAAAAATCTCAAAAATCCTAACTTTATACACCAAGGAACTAGAAAAAGAAGAACAAACTAAGGCCAAAGTTAGCAGAAGGCAGGAAATAATAACAGAACAGAAATAAGTGAAATAGAAGTTAGAAAAATAATAGGAAAGATCAATGAAATTTGTTTTTTTTTTTGACAAGATAAAAAAGTGACAAACTTAATTAGAATAAGAAAAAAGAGAAGACTCAACTAAAATCAGTGAGAGATGAAAAAGGAGACATTACAACTGATATTGCAGAAATCATAGGGGACCATAAAACTATGAGCAATTACACACCAAATAATTGGAAAAAAAAAAAAAAACAATATGCAAAACTGATAAACTTTAGCTAAATTAACCAAGAAAAAAAATTCAAAGTTATAAATAAGAGAAGACATTACAACTGATACTACAGAAAAACATAGGATAATAAAAGTCTACTATGAACAATTATACATCAACTAATTAGATAATCTAGAAAAAAATGAATGACTTTCTAGACACATACAGCCTACCAAGACTGTATCATGAAGAAGAAATAGAAGATCTGAACATACTATTAAGAGTAAGGAGGCCCAATTGGTAATCAAAAATCTCCCAACAAGAAAAGCTTAGGACCTGATGGATTCAATGGTGAATTCTAGCAAACACTCTTCAAAGAAGAATTAATACCAATCCTTCTCAAACTCTTCTAAAAATTGAAGAGAATGAAAGGCCTCCAAACTCATTTTATAAGGCTAGTATTACACTGCTATCCAAACCAGACAAGGACAGTAGAAGAAAACAAAGTTACAGGTCAATATCTCAATCAGGAACAAGACAAAGATGCCCACTCTCACCACTTCTGTTCATTATAGCAACAGAAGTCTTAGCCAGAGCAATTGGGTAAGAAAAAGAAATAAAAGACATCCAAACCAGAAAGGAAGAAGTAAAATTGTCTGTCTGCAGGTGACATAAACTTATATATAAAAATCTTTAATCTTTAAAGACTCCACCAAAAACCTGTTAAAACTAATAAACAAATTCAAAAAGTTACAGATTATAAAATCAACATATAAAAATACAATGCACACTAAAAACAAACTATCCAAAAAAGAAATCAAGAAAATTCCATCTACAACAGCACAAGAAAGATAACTTAAAAACAAAAACAGAAACAAAAACAACTTAGGAATAATTTTAACCAAGGAGGTGAAAAAGCTCTACAAGGCAAATTAGAAAACACTGATGAAAGAAATTGAAGAGAAAAAAAAAAAAAGGAAATATATCCTATGTTCCTGGATTGGAATAATTAATATTGTTAAAATGTCCATACTACCCAAAGTGATCTACAGATTCAATGCAATGCCTACTATTTTGACTGTCTTTTTTTACTCTTATATGGTTATAAATAACCCTCTTTCTGTGACAACACAGAACAATACAAAAACATATTAATTAATTAATCAGATGTTTACTGAGTAGCTACTATATTTCAGGCACTGTTTTAGGTACTTGAGGTACATCAAGAATAAAACAACCAGGTGTGGTGGCTCACATCTAATCCCAGCAGGGAGGCTGAGGTGGGAGGATCATTTGAGGCCAGGAGTTCGAGACCAGCTTGGGCAACATGGCAAAAACCCATCTCTACCAAAAAATACCAAATTAGACAGGTGTGGTGGTACATGCCTGTAGTCCTAGCTACTCCAGAGGGTGAGGTGGGAGGACTGAGTGAGCCCAGGGAATTTGAGGCTGCAGTAAGCTATGATTATGCCACTGGACTCCAGCCTGGGTGACAGAGTAAGACCCTGCCTCTTAAAAAAAAATTCCAATGGTATTTTTCACAGAAATAGGAAAAACAATCCTAATTCTTATATGGAACCACAAAAGACCCTGAATAACCAAAGCAATCGTGAGCAAAAAGAATAAAGCTGGAGACATCATGCTACCTAATTTCAAAATATACTATAGAGCAATAGTAATCAAAACAGCACGGTACTGGCATTAAAAACACATATAGACCAATGGAACAGAATAGAGAGCACAGAAATAAATCTATGCATTTTATTGTCAACTTATCTTTGACAAAGGTGCCAAGAACACACAATGTGAAAAAGACAGGCTCTTAAATAAATGGTGCTGGGAAAACTGAATATCTATATGTAGAAGAATGAATTTCAATCCTTATTTCATGTCATATGCAAAAATCAACTCAAAATGGATTAGAGACATAAATGTAAGACTTGAAACTGAAAAACTACTAGAAGGAAACATAGGGAAAAAAGCTTCTTGACATTAATCTGGGCAATGGTTTTTTGGATATGACCCTAAAAGCACAGGCATCAAAAAACAAAAACAGACAAATGAGATTGCATCAAACTAAAAAGCTTCTGCAAAGCAAAGGAAATCACCAAAAGAGAGAAGAGAGACAATATATAGAATGGGAGAAAATATCTGCAAACTAAACATTTTATAAGGGGTTAATATCCAAACAAACCAATAGCAAGAAAATAAATAATCCAACTAAAAAATGGGCAAAGGACCTGCACAGCCATTTCTCAAACAAAGACATACAAATATAGCCAACAGGTATATGAAAAAATGTCCAACGTCACTAATCATGAGGGAAATACAAATAAAAATCACAATGAGATACCATCTCACCCGAGTTAGAATGGCTATTAGCAGAGAGATAAAAGATAAGTATTGGCAAGGACATGGAAAAAAGGGAACCCTGCACACTGTTGGTGGGAATGTTACCTGATACAGCTACTATACTATACAATACAGTAAGAAATTTCCCTAAAAAATGAAGGACAGCGGGGCAGGGCACAGTGGCTCATGCCTGTAATCCCAGCACTTTGGGAGGTGGAGGCAGGCAGGTCATGAGGTCAGGGGTTTTGAGACCAGCCCGGTCAACATGGTGAAACTCCATCTCTACCAAAGACACAAAAAATTAGCTGGGTGTGGTGATGCACACTTTTAATCCCAGCTACTCAGGAGGCTGAGGCAGGAGAATCACTTGAACCCGGAAGGCGGAGGTTTCAGTGAGCTGAGATCGCTACACTGCACTCCAGCCAGCCTGGGCCAAAGGGTGAGACTGCATCTCAAAAAAAAAAAAAGAAAAAAAGAAAGAAAAGAAAATGAAGGACAGAACTGGCAGCAATCCCTTTTCTGGGTATATATTCAAGAGAAATGAAATTGGTATGTCCAAAAGTTATCTGTGCTCCCATGTCCACTGCAGAATTACTCATAGTAGCCAAGATACAGAATCAACCTAAGTATCCATTAATGGATGAATGGATAAAGAAAATGGAATATTATTCAGCCTTAAAAAAGAAGGAAATCCTGCCGGGCATGGTGGCTCATGCCTGTAATTCCAGCACTTTGGGAGGCCAAGGCAGGCAGATCACCTGAGGTCAGAAGTTTGAGACCAGCCTGCCCAACATGGTGAAACCTTGTCTCTACTAAACATACAAAAATTAGCTGGGCGTGGTGGCACATGCCTGTAATCCCAACTACTCAGGATGCTGAGGCAGGAGAATGGCTTGAACTGGGGAGGCGGAGGTTGCAGTGAGCCAAGATTGCTCCACTGTACTCCAGCCTCAGTGGCAGAGTGAGACTCTGTCTCAAAAAAAAAAAAAAGAAGGAAATCCTGTCATTTGTAAAATCACGATGAAACTGAGAGGCATTATGTTATGTTAAGTAAAATGAGCCCAGCACAGAAAGACAAAGACTGCATGATCTCACTTAAAAGTGGAATGTAAAAATGTCAAACTCACAGAAGCAGGGAGAATTATGCCTTCCAGGAGCTTGGGGTAGGGGGAGATGAAGGCCAAAGGGTACATAGTTTCAGTTATGCAGGATGAATAAGCTTTAGAGAGAAAATATACACTGTGACTATAGTCTAGAATACTGTACTGTTACTTGAAATTTGCCATGAGATTAGATCTGAAATGTTCTCACCACACACACACACCCCCAAGATAATTTTGAGGTGACATATATGTTAATTAGCTTGACTATGATAATCATTTCACAATGTATACATATATCAAAACATCACAGTGTACCCTGTAAATATATGTACAATTTTTATTTGTCAATTTTGTCTCCATAAAGCTGGGGAAAAATGAAAATATGTCAGAAACAACTTGAGGTATACAGCCAAATGAAAGTTAGTGCTCTAAAAGCGGTTCAAAATGGCTAAAATGGTAGATATTACATTACGTATATTTTACTACAATTTTTTAAAAAAGAAGAGGTTCAAAACTATTAATGCAATGAAGAGGAATGATTAGTTCTAACTGGATGGTCACTAAGGATGGTTAGGATTTCCATTAATCCTAGTCCACTGGGGTTAGGAAAGACAGGCAGAACGTCCCCCAGGAATAGTGTGGGTGCTCAGGGAAAGGCGGTGGGTTACAAGGGGTGTGTCAGGGATAAGGTGGGCAATGACAAAGAAAAGGCGACAGAGGGCCCACCAGGAGAGAATCTTCACTCACCAGGTCAGGGACAGGGGCCATCCACAGGCCAAGGGAGCCACATCCAGTGCTGGGCAGGGAGGGGCATGGGGAGCCTGCAGGCGGCAAGGCAAACACAGAGGCCACTGAAGCTGCCCAGGCTTAAGATGAGGAGGGCGGCCGCCAGGCAGGGCCAAGGCGGAGATGGGAAACGAGTCAGAGGGTTTCGCAGACGGAACAGCGCTTGAGAGTGTAAAGGAGGAGAGTGTGTGGGGTGGTGCAGGGAGGCACAGTTTCTCTCACCATCTGAGGCTCTTAAAACAAAACAGAAAACCCTGCCTAGAAGAGCAAAGTGTATGTCAGTGACAGGGATCCTGAGCAGAGCTCGGGAACTACCGGTACTTCCATTTCTGAAGGAAACTCCAGCTGTCCCCGCAAGCTCCTCTCACATTCTGTGAGAGCCAGACAAAAAGCTTGTTTTCCTCCCTTTTTTCCTTGCCTGCCAAGGCCTGTCACTCCTGGCTTTGGCTCTCCTGGAGTGACACCTCTGTAGTTCCGGCTCCCAGTCTCTCGGCTAGGAGGCCTCCAGTGGCCATGGGAGCCTAGGCAGAGGGAAAGGAAGAGTGGATCCTCTTCCTCTTGCTTTCGATGAGCAAGGCTGTGCACTGCTTATGAAAGGTGGAGCTGTGGCTTCTTGCAGAATTTCTCAATTCTCCCAACTGCCATACTAACCCCTAACTAATCACCAGCCCCTCTGGCCATTGTTTTCATTCAGCAGTTTAGTGAACCACAAATTGTTAGCCCTCAGTTTTGTTCTTCTTTAAAAGACAGATAATCCGTAGTATTTTGACCTTTCCTCAGTTCTTACTTCCCAAATTCTAAGTTAATTTCATTACTCTCATCTCCAAACTTTCCATCTTATGCTGAGGACCCTAATCAAGTATGAAACTTCATCATCCAAAAGCCTGGCGCTGATCAGAGCACAAGGGAAAGGCTGCTGTGCTCTGCACACACTGGAGTAAACAAACCTCATTCTTGTTTTTTGCTGTGGCATCACATTCACTGTTTTCAGGCTTCCTCAGGTGCTTCCACCTTCCTCCTTGGTCAAAAGTAATCATGGTCTGGATAGAATTATCTGAATGGGAAGAGAATGGCATTAAGTCTGATACATTGGAAGCACCTAGTTAGATTCAGTTTATCATTGCATAACTCCTGAGACCGTATAGCACCCGGTGTCCAACAAGCTTATAATACCTTACAAAACTGCTCAGTGTTGGTGAGGAACGGAGCAGTGCTTTAAATATGATATTTGAGGCCGGGTGCAGGGGCTCACGTCTGTAATCCCAGCACTTTGGGAGGCTGAGGCAGGTGGATCACCTGAGGTCAGGAGTTTGAGATCAGCCTGGCCAACATGGTGAAACCCCGACTCTACCAAAAATACAAAAAATTAGCTGGGTGTGGTGGTGGGCTATAATGCCAGCTACTTGGGAGGCTAGGGTAGGGGAATCGCTTGAACCTGCGAAGTGGAGGTTGCAGGGAGCCAAGATTGCTCCATTGTACTCCAGCCTGGGCGACAAGAGTGAAACTCTGTCTCAAAAAAAAAAAAAAAAAAAAAAAGATATTTGAAGAAGATGTCCCCCCTGAACAGGACCCAATTAATTCCACAAGTTATCTAGGACTGATACTCTTTGAAAAAGATATCTTTTAACTCCTTATCAACATTCCGTTCTCCTTCCTTGCTTGCTTGCCTGGGAAGCAAAATCTACCATAGGAAGGCATCCTAATCTTTATTCAGACAAGGCCATGACACTAGGCTTGTTTTAGGGACTCCTGAGATTGAATAAGTGTGCACGGTTCTGGATTAATAACTGAATTATTGTCTCTCTCCTACTCCATATCCTATCTTTCTTATACCTTTCTTTTTTTCCCTTGTCTCTTCCCCATTCTTATTTTCAATGATATAAACTGTTGCAGGTTTTAAGTTCAGAGAAATCCTTTGAATTTTCTTTTATTTGTATTTATTTATTTATTTTTGAGATGGAGTTTTGTTCTTGTTGTCCAGGCTAGAGTGCAATGACACAATCTCGGCTCACTATAATCTCTGCCTCCTGGGTTCAAGTGATTCTCCTGCCTCAGCCTCCTGAGCAGCTAGGATTATAGGCACCTGCCACCATGCCCGGCTAATGTTTTGTATTTTTAGTAGAGACGGGGTTTCACCATGTTGGTCAGGCTGGTCCTGAACTTCTGACCTCAGGTGATCCACCCACCTCAGCCTCCCAAAGTGCTAAGAGTACAGGTGTGAGCCACCGTGCCTGGCCTTGAGTTTTCTAAGAAAAAGCAAACAAGAAAGCAAATAAACGAAAATTCACTTATTCAACAAACATTTACTGAGTGCCTACTATGTGAAAACTTTTTTTTTTTTGAGACAGAGTCTTGCTCTATCATCCAGGCTTGACTGCAGTGGCTTCATCTTGGCTCACTGCAACCTCCACCTCCCAAGTTCAAGAGATTTTCATGCCTCAGCCTCCTGAGTAGCTGGGACTACAGCTGCATGCCACCAGGCCCGGCTAATTTGTATTTTTAGTAGAGATGGGGTTTCACTATGTTGGCCAGGCTGGTCTCAAACTCCTGACCTCAAGTGTTCTGCCCACTTTGACCTTCCGAAGTGCTGGGATTACAGGCATGAGCCTCTGTGCCTGATATGAAAACTTTTTGTAAGCCTTTGGGAATATATCAGTGAACAAAACAGACAAAAAAAATACTGTGAAAAATGCATTCCAGTAGGGTGAGACAAGCACTAGACGTAAATAAGTCAATTATGTAGTATGCTAGAAAATAAGTACTATGGAAAAACTTGAGCAGCTAAAGGTGGATTGACAGTGTATGCGTGAGAAGGGGAGAGCAAACTGGAATTTAAAATAGCATAGTCAGGGCAGGTCTCATTCAAAAAGTAACACATGAGCACAGACATATCATCAGCCTTGTTGCTTTCTGGAGAGGCAGAGGGAACTGTGGTGCAAATCTCTAATCCATGTACGTGCATGTGTACCTGGTGTGTTAAGAACTGGCAGGTAGACAGTGTGATGAGAGTAGGGCAGATAGAAAGAGAAGAGCTGGAGATGAGTCAGGGAGGAAACCAGGAGCCACATCTCCAGGACCTTGTAGGCCACTGCCAGAACTTTACAAAATAAAAACAGGCCCTACCTCCTACCGAAAAATAAATATGTAAATAAAATGACACTTTAAGAGTCTTTGTACTGGAGATTAATATGTTTATTTGTATAATGGGGCCTAAGGAAAGGTGAGCTCTGTATAGCCACTGAGTAGAACACAGGGAACCTTGGCTGGCTATTGCTATGCCCTTAACAAGAAGAGCAGGAAGTGGGTCAAATTCAGGCTTATTCTCATAGGCCTACATCTCCCAATATAGAAGACTCATTTTATAACCTAAACAACATAGACTCAAAACACCTTTCTTTCTACTTGCCATTGCTCTGCTCGCTCCTAGTTCTATTTACCACAACTTATTTAAAATTGGGAGCCAGAATTTGCATGGGTTTGGTCTGTCCCTGCGGGACTCTCCTCCTGATCCCTTCTCCCCCGGCATCAGGCAATGTCTCACCACAACCACCAGCCCAAACCCTCCCGTGACTTTGATACTCTGCATGTGTAGTTCCTTCAGCTGAAAATGCCCTTCCCTCCCCATTCCTGCCTATCATACTTCATGCTCAGTCTTAAATGTTTTTAGGGTGCGTTCATTGTCTGGTTTTGAGTGCAAGGCTGTTCAGCTGTTTATTCACAGACTCATTCAGCAAATATTACTGAGCATCTACTATGTGCCAAAATTGTCATAAGCACCAGAGAAGCATCAGTGAACACAAGTTTAAAAATCTCTTCTATCTACAGGACTTGAATGGAAGCTTCTTTAAAGAAGATATTCACATGGCCAACGAGAACATAAAAAGTTGTTCAACAACATCAGTCATTACAGAAATGCAAATCAAAGCCATAAACAAGATACTACTTTACTCCCACTAGGATAGCTGTTATAAAAATAATAGAATATAATGTGTTAGCAATGAAGTAGAGAAATTGGAATACTTTTGTATTGCATGTAAAATGGTACAATCATGTGGAAAACCCATTGGTAATTCCTCCAAAATTGAAACATGGAATTATCATGTGATCCTCCTATTTGACTCCTACATATATCCCGAAAGGAACTGAAAGCAACAACTTAAACAGTTACATGTATACCAATGTTCATGGCAGCATTCATTATTGGTAAGAGACAAAAATGTAAACAGCCTAACTGTCCATCAATGGATGAATGAAAAATAGGCCAGGCACGGTGGCTCACGTCTGTAATCCCAGCACTTTGGTAGGCCGAGGCAGACAGATCACCTGAGGTCAGGAGTTCGAGACCAGCCTGGCCAGCATGGCAAAACCCCGTTTCTACTAAAAATACAAAAACTAGCCAGGTGTGGTGGGGCATGCCTGTAATCCCAGCTATCTGGGAGGCTGAGGCAGAAGAATTGCTTGAACTCAAGAGACAGAGGTTGCAGTGAGCCGAGACTATCCCACTGCACTCCAGCCTGGGCAACAGAGAAAGACTCCATCACCAAAAAGGAAAAAAACAAAACAAAACAATAAAAGGTACTATATTCAAACAAAGGAATATATTCTATCCTTAAAAAGGAATAAATGAAATTCTAAAACATGTTACAATATAGTTGAACTTTGAAATAATATGCAAAGTGAAAGAAGCCAGACATACAAAAACCAATAGTGTCTGATTCTGCTTGCATGAGCTACCTATAATAGGCAAATTCATTGAGACAAAATAGAATGTTGGTTACCAGAGCTGTGGACTGGGTGGGGATGAGGAGTGGTTGTGCACCTGGTGCAGTTTCTATTTGGGATGATGAAAAAGCTCTAGAAATCGGGTGATGGTTGCACAACATTGTGACTATGCTTAATGCTACTGAATTGTACCCTATACAATGTTAAAAACTGCAAATTTTGTTAGATATATTTTGCCACAATAAAAAAAAAGGAAACAGGCCAGGCACTGGCTCATGCCTGTAGTCCTAGCACTTGGGAGGCCGAGACGGGTGGATCACCTGAGGTCAGGAGTTCGAGACCAGCCTGACCAACATGGCAAAGCACTGCCGCTACTAAAAATACAAAAGCCAGGCATGGTGGTGCATGCCTAGAATCCCAGCTACTTGGGAGAGGCTGAGGCAGGAGAATCGATTGAACCTGGGAGGTGGAGGTGGCAGTGAGCCAAGATTGTGCCACTGCACTCCAGCCTGGGCAACAAGAGCGAAACTGCGTCTCAAAAAAAAAAAGACAAGTAAAAAATGTACACAGGTAGGCTTGGCTTGGCAAGCGATGTTACAGGGGACAGGTTCCCCTGAAGCCTCAAATCCTACCACATGCGGCTGAAGGTGCAGGGCAGCACTGTGATGCCCAGACTCACCTTCGGAGAGTACGCTTGTTATGTAGACGCCTCGGAGGGAGGTCACGTTGGTAAAGTCCGTCTCTCCGCCTGTCGTAGTGTAGAGATGTCGGTCCAAAGACTTGGAATAGACAATGCCTCGATCATCTGAGGTGAAGATTGTGCCAAATCCAGTGTCTGAAATAAGCAAACAAACAAAAATACTAAGTCTTGGGTGGAACCAAAGAGAAAAACAATAGTCTAACCACACACGATTGTCTGCCCGACCAAACACAGTAGCCAATTGTGTCTCTTCATTATGAAGACTCAGACCTGAGAATTAATCAAGGTTTGATACTCAAGATCTTTATGCCCATCTTTAATTCTAGTACCCAGCTAGTGCCTGGAATACGCCAGATGCTGAGTTTGTTGAATAAATTAATCGGATGCTACAGAAAGCTTTTCCCAGATATATTTTGGTGGGAGAGTTTCTGTGTTTAGTTTACACATCTCTAAATCTTTACACTCTAGAACAATGCTTTTTAAACTATCTATAGTGAAGGATCAATTTGTAAGACTTCCGGCCAGTGCAGTGGCTCATGCCTGTAATCCCAGCACTTTGGGAGGCCAAGGCGAGAGGATCATGAGGTCAGGAGTTCGAGACCAGCCTGGCCAATGTGGTGAAACCCTGTCACTACTAAAGATACAAAAAATGAGCTGGGTATGGTGGCGCACGCCTGTAATTCCAGCTACTCAGGAGGCTGAGGCAGGAGAATCACTTGAACCCAGGAGGCAGAGGTTGTAGTGAGCTGAGATCGCGCCAGGTTTCCAATATGTCACAAACCGACACTTTTGTAAAACATAATTAAAAAACTAATCATTAGAAAATGAAAAGTCAGACAAAATACAGACCCCTAATTTTTTATCATTAGATCCAACAGACATAAAATTGCTTTGTTGAAGGGCCAGAAGAGTTTCTAAACTCTTGCTCTCAATCTCTGTACTTATCTGGTAACAGAAAGTTTGCACATCAGTACCAGTCTGCTGACCATTCTTCGAGCAGCTCTGCTCTAGAACACCTGAACATACGCACAATCTACCTCAGAGCACCAAAACAAGTGGCATTTTTAACAGGGGCCACAGATGATTTCTAGGACAGAATAATCAGTATGACACCAATAAATTTCTAGGGGTAAGGGGAAAACTCGACATGTAAAAAGGAAAGCTGCTCAAAGTTTACATCTCTATGCTTTCAAGGGTGGGCCACCAAAAAGCTCTTACCTCCAGGTTCATCTACATGCATGAATACCATGTCATCATTCGCTGCCAGAATAGAATAGAACTGTTCCTGTCCCACAGAGGGGAGTTGGGCCATGCTCCACGTGTCCCCTTGATCTGTTGAAACGTGGATCCTTCTTGTTGTATCCTAGAACAGATGCCAATATTTATCTTTCTAATTTTCTGCCAAGATGCCACGTGCAGGGACACGAACAAGAATGTTTTTTCTTTTTTTGGAGACCGAGTCTCACTCTGTAGCCCAGGCTAGAGTGCAGCAGTGGCACAATCTTGGTTCACTGCAACCTCTATCTCCTGGGTCCCGGTTCCCGCAATTCTCCTGCCTCAGCCTCCCAAGTAGCTGGAATTATATGCATGCACCACCATGCCCAGCTAACTTTTATATTTTTAGTAGAGGCAGGATTTCACCATGTTGACCAGGCTGGTCTCGAACTCCTGACTTGTGATCTGCCCGCCCTGGCCTCTCAAAGTGCTGGAATTACAGGCATGAGCCACTGCACAGGCCCAAGAATATTTTAAATAATTACTATTATCAATTTCTCCACTGGGTACAATTGCTATAAATGAAAGGTCATAGTACCAATTACCGATGCAATTTCTAGCCGCTAGCAAAGTTGTAGGTAATAGAACAATCCATTCTGTTCTAAATAAGGCTATCTTGGCTTTCTCTTTGAATTCTTCACTCTGATGCAGCCCTGTAACATGCTATATGTCCTGATCTCTGATAGTCCATCTCCTTCCGCAGAGCTAAGGATTTGATGGGAACATTACTAGGCTGGCTTTACAGCCATTTGCATACACTCACTCCAATAATTCTTAAAATGATGACTGCTGCATAAAAGTTTGGTCCCTTTCAGACAGTCCTTGCATAATTTAAATCACTATATAATTAAGTCCGTTCTAGAAAATAGAGATGAAACCCATGTTTGGGAGATCACAAGAAAAGTCAAGATGTAACACACCTCCTCTCTAAGGAAGTCTCTCAGAATGGCCAGGAGGAAGGGAATAGGCATGGGCTGGAAAGAGGCCACCTAACTCAATAGTGCTGATTTCCTTCTCCCTCCCAGTCTTCTTTGCTGGATTCTTCTCTTTCCAACCTTTCAGTCGTGGGTGCTTCAGGGATTGCTCGGTCCTCCCACCTTTTTGCTACCTACTTACTCCTCCACAAGGTATCATCTAGTCACATGGCTTCAAATACCATAGCAATTAGGGAGATTCATATACTCAAATGCTCACTTAACATCTCCATTCGGATATCTAATACATGTCTCATATCCAGGACTGAATTTTTTTTTTGTTGCTGTTGTTTCTGTTTTTTTTTGAGACAGAGTCTCACTCGGAGTGCAGTGGCATGATCCTGGCCACTGCAACCTCCAACTCCAGAGTTCAGGTGATTCTCATGTCTCAGCCTCCCAAGTAGCGGGGGTTGTAGGTGCGTGCCACCACGCCCGGCTAATTTTTTGTATTTTTTAGTAGAAACAGGGTTTCACCATGTTGGCAAGGCTGGTCTCAAACTCCTGACATCAAGTGATCTGCCTGCCTTGGCCTGCCAAGAGCTGGGATTACAGGCCCAAAACTGAATTCCTGATTTTTCTCCCACAACCTGCTCCTTCTGCAGTCTTTGCCATCCCAGGAAATGGCACCACCATTCAGGGGCTCAGGATGAAGACTCTGAAGGTACCCTTGAATCTGCTCATTCTCTCACAACCTACATCAAATCCATCAGCAAGTCCTATTAGCAATATGCTTATAAATATATCCACAGTCTCGCCCACTGCCAAGGGCCTGGCCCAGCTACCACCTCCCTGGCTTGGACTCCTGAGACAGCTCCTGGCACTCCTGCTGCTTCCGTGCGTGCCCCTGTCAGGCTGTTCTGTGCACACCTATTCTTCAAAGGGAAGCCAAATCCCAGCATTCCCCTGCTCACAACCCTCCCACAGCTCCCAACACAGGAAGAGTAAGGCCCACATTTTAATTGTGACCTAGAAAGGCCATGTAAGGTCTGGCCGGGCCTGCTGTGGTCCCACTTTGGACTACTCTTCTCTGTGCTCCCCTCATACTGCCCTTCTCCCCTTTGCTTAGATTGATTAAGCATGCTCCAGGCTGAGGGTCTCTGCACTGGCTGTGCCTCCTCCTACTCTCCTCCCAGATGGCCACACGGTCATGCTCTCAGTTCACTTAGGTCCCCGAGAGCCCATCCTAAACACCCCGTCAAAAGAGCACTGACTCCTGACACTGTTTCCTTACTCTGCTTTAGATTGTATTTCAAAAAATATGGCTGTTATATTTTTGGTAGAGATGGGGTTTCACCCCGTTTTAATTACCGGATATACACACATATTTATATTTATATATATTAAATATAAATAAAAATAAATATTTATATTTATTTATGAGACAGGGTCTTGAGCTGTCACCCAGGTGTGATCACAGCTCACTGCAGCCTTAACCTTCCAGGCTCAGGTGATTCCCCCACCTTGGCCTCCCAAGTAGCTGAGACTACAGCCGCACACTACCATGTCCACCATGCCCAGCTTATTTTTCTATTTTTTGTAGAGATAGGGTTTTGTCATGTTGTCCAGGCTGGTCTTGAGCTCCTGGGCTCAAGGGATCCACCTGTCTCAGCCTCTCAAAGTGCTGGGATTACAGGCGTGAGCCACCGCCCCCAGCCTTCATATTTATTTTTCGAGTATTTATTTTCCCCCTTAAATATAAGTTCTGAGAACAAGAAATTTACCTGTTTTGTTCACTGCCACATTCCTGGGACATAGAATAGTACCTGGCATAGAGTAGGCACTCAGTTAATGTTATCTAATTGTATTTTTATTCTTGGATAATGAGCAGGAGTTCGCTTTCTACAGACGTCCATGTCTGAGTAATGCTCAAACACTGGATCAAAACATCCTGGCTGGATGTAGTGGCTCACGCCTATAATTCCAGCACTTTGGGAGACCTAGGTGAGCAGATCACCTGAGGTCAGGAGTTCAAGACCAGCCCAGCCAACATGGTGAAACCTCATCTCTACTAAAAATACAAAAATTTGCCACGTGTGGTAGCGCACACCTGTAGTAGTAACTACCTGGGAGGGTGAGGCAGATGAATACCTTGAATCTGGGAGGTGGAGGTTGCAGTGAGTGAAGATTGCATCACTGCACTCCAGCCTGGGCAACAGAGCAAGACTCTGTCTCAAAAAAAAAAAAAAAATCCCAAAAAAGATGCCAGAATTCACATGGTGGCAGGAGGCCAAAGTGCAGAGTAGCCTATCAGAGTTAATCATCCTCTGCGAAAAGAATCAGCCCCAACACTTAACAGTGGTATTAAATATAGCAAATAGACAAGAAACTCTGTCAGTGCCAAGTAATAAAGATAATCTACACGAGAGATATTTGCAGAAATATCAGACCCCAAAAAGAAAAGGGAAATACCTACCTTATCAGCCATCACAGAAGCAAAAAGGAAACGTCCCCCAAGACCAAATGAGTAGATTTTCACGCCAATAGTTTTGAAGCTTTTTCCCAAGTCTGAGGTTCTCCATAATTCCAGAGACCCAAGGTCAGCTTCTTAAACAAGACAAAATATTAATTAAAATTTCACTTACTGGTTAGTCTAGTTCAAAGCAATTGTTTTAGAATTAGTCTTAATTTTATAGCTAAGCATTTAAAATACTATGCATGTTAATAAAGTGACAACATAAAATGTGATACAGTATCAGATATAGGAAATTCATATTTGGGATTGATTGATTGATTGATTGAGACGGAGTTTCGTTTTGTTGCCCAGGCTGGAGTGCAACGGTGTGATCTCAGCTCACTGCAACCTCTGCCTCCCAGGTTCAAGCAATTCTCCTGCCTCAGCCTCCTGAGTAGCTGAGATTACGGGCATGCGCCACCATGCCTGGCTAATGTTGTATTTTTAGTAGAGACGGGGTTTCTCTATGTTACTCAGGCTCGGCCTCCCAAAGTGCTGGGTTTACAGGGGTGAGCTATAGTGCCTGGCTTGGGTTTTATTTTATACGTTTGAGATTTTATGCTTGATGGAAAAGTAAGAGATTACCTAATACCAATACAGTATTTCATAAAAACATCAAAGTGACAGCATGCTGCTTTACTTTCTTCATGGCACAGTTTGGAATGATCTTATCCTATTTTAAATTGTCTTGAGTTTTCTCTTTTCTTTTAAGAGCTGGGGTCTTGCCACATTGCCCAAGCTGTCCTTGAATTTCTGGGCTCAAGCAATCCTGCCGTCTCAGCCTCCCAAGTAGCTGGGACTACAACCATCATGCCCAGCTTGTGCTCTGGTTTTCTTGTTTATCATCCAACATCCCTACTTGAATTTACATTCCATGAGGGCAGGCCTTGGGTGTTTTGTTCTCTCCATTCTTAGAATAGTGTTTAGCTTATGAGTAGGTGCTCAAATACCTGCTGAATGAGTAAATGAAAGATTTTGCTTTCTGCTTTCAAATTGTATTACAGGGCTGGGCGTGGTGGCTCACACCTGTAATTCCAGCACTTTTGGAGGCAGAGGTGGGTGGATCATGGGTCAGGCGTTCGAGACCAGCCTGACCAACATAGTGAAACCTCGTCTCTACTAAAAATACAAAAATTAGCCTAGTGTGGTGGCAGGTACCTGTAAACCCAGTTACTCGGGAGGCTGAGGCAGGAGAATCGCTTGAACCTGGGAGGCGGAGGTTGCAGTGAGCCGAGATCCTGCCACCACACTCCACCCTGGGCAACAGTGTGAGACTCCATCACAAAAAAAAAAAAAAAAAAGAAAGAAAAAAAAGAAATTGTGTCATAGTTTGGGAAGCCAGTTGCTTCTGCCAATACAAACACAACCCATGCTTTTCTGCAGAAATCACTATGCTTTTCAATTTGCTATTGTCTGTAGCATGATATTTGCTTTATGTAAATACATTGCTAAGATTAAATACTGCTTCTACGTACAGCCTATATTTTTATTTGATCTGGGTAGTGCAGTAATTTGGTTTTACTTTCAAGATTTTAATAATCACTAACAGCTATCTTCAGCTATTACAATTTCAGGAGAATGGAAGGATCTTCTATGTTTCTACCTCGCACAATGCAGAAAATTCTACCATGAATGGACAACAGAACACTATTTTCTCGGACTAAAATATACTTACTGCAGGAGCCATTCGCATAGGTGGTAAAGAAGATGGTGCTGTCTGATCCCCTACAATGAGGCAAAAATGGGGAGAGGAAATGGTTTAAGATTGCTGAAGAACTGTGTCGACCTTATTCACCAACCTCCTAGCAGTCTAACAAGCTTCATTCACAGGCACCAACAAGCACCACCTCTCAGGTGCTGAGCCCTGGTCCTTCACAGCTCTGACCGTCAAGCTCCCCAACTGCCCAGTCCACGTGTTCCCCGCAGACTACCACTTCTTTACGTGAACTCTTTCAGCTAGTCATCCTGGTCTACTCACCCTCTCCACATCTGCCTCTGACATTTTTGATGGTCACAACTGGGGGGTAGGTGGGTGGGGGAGTTGTTACTGGCATCTACTGGGTAGAGGCCAGGGATGCTGCTACACATTTTATGATGCACAGAACAGCCCTCCACGATAAAGAATTCTTTGACCCAAAATGTCATTGGTGCTGAGGTTGAGAAACTGTTTTAGAGCACTATATTGTCTGCACAGCCACTTGGCGTGCATTTGCCTCCTGTTTTTAAATTTTAATTGCATAGTATATGCCTTGCCTTTCCTACTATATAAATTAGCTTCTTCAGAGCAGGTACTATGCTTTGCTGAATCTAGTTCAGAATCTAGTTCAATGCTTTGTATGAACTAAATAATTTAGTTCTTCCATCTCAAATAGACAACTAGGTCAGAGGTTGAATTATTTAAAATGTAACCTGGAAAGGGAGCTTGCAGGGAACTAGATTTAGACCCTGCTGGGGCTTATTAGATTACAACTAAAAAAAGGTGTTGGTTCTGAGCACGTTCCTTCAGAACTTTAGGTTGTAAATTCCTAGAAACTAAAGATCAAAAAGCGTGAGTAAACAGTTAGCAGCAGCCTGGTTATCCATATTTAGACACTAAACAAAGAAACATGTTACAAAAGTAAAATCCTTGCATAGGATACAAAATACTATTTGAAAAATCGCTTTTTAATTTTCAAGATAAGTTTTTGTTTAAGAGATGGAGGCTTGCTCTGTCACCCCAGTTGGAGTGCAGTGGAGCAATCGCAGCTCACTGCAGCCTCAAACTCCCCAGCTCAAGCAATCCTTCCACCTCATTCTCTTGAATAGTGAGGACTACAGGTGTGCATCACCATGCTTTTCTTTTTTCTTTCTTTGTATTAATTTTTTGTAGAGATGGGGTCTCACTATGTTGCCCAGGCTGGTTTTGAGTTCCTGGTCTCAAGCGATCCTTCCATCTCAGCCTTCCAAAGTGTTTGGATTATGGGTATGAGCCACTGCACCTGGCTAAAGATGAGTTTTAATGATTAAAAATTAACAAAAATTAGCCAGGTGTATGCCTGTAGTCCCAGCTACTGGAGAGACTGAAGTGTGAGGATCACTTGAGCCCAGGAGGCAGAAGCTGCAGTGATCAAAGATCGTGCCACCACATCTTAGCTTGGGTGACAGAGCCAGACCTTATCTCCAAAAAAAAAAAAAAAATTATTAAGTCTTATTTACACATGACCTACATGTTTTAGGTCCATTAGGAGTGAAACAATTTAACTTAGTCATCTTAAAAATTACTTTCATCTAGCGTGGTTGCGTACACCTGTAATCCCAGCACTTTGGGAGGCAGAGGTGGGTAGATCACGAGGTCAGGAGTTCAAGACCAGCGTGGCCAACATGGTGAAACCCAATCTCTAGTAAAAATACAAAAATTAGTTGGGTGTGGTGGCTTGTGCTTGAAATCCCAGCTACTCAGGAGGCCGAGGCAGGAGAATCACTTGAACCTGGGAGGCGGAGATTGCAGTGAGCCGAGACCATGCCATTGCACTACATCCTAGGTGACAGAACAAGGCTCTGTCTCAAAAAAAAAAAATTACTTCCTTCCTGATAAAACTGTATAAGGTACAAACACAATTCATTAAAATACATAAAATGAAAGCAAATGTGGCATGTGTACCAGAGTGGTGCTGTAAAAACCTCATAAAAACACATTTCTGGGGCTAGGCATGGTGGTCCACACCCATAATCTCAGTACTTTGGGAGGCTGAGGAGGAAGGACTGCTTGAGTCCAGGAGTTTGAGACCAGCCTGGGCAACACAGTGACACCCCTCATCTCTAAAAAATAAAAATACAAAAATTAGAGAGACATGGTGGCACGTGCTTATAGTTCCAGCTACTTTGGAGGCTGAGGCAGGGGGAGGACTGCTTAAGTTCAGGAGGTCAAGGCTGCAGTGAACCATGATGACTATGCCACTGTACTCTAGCCTGGACAAAAAAGCAATACCCTATCTCAAACACAAGAAACATTTCTAGAAAAGGCCCACTTTGTTTAAGCAACATATTTAATATTTTAATCAATCTTGGTAGACATATTCCACACTTTCCTGATTCCCAGAGTACAGGAAACTCTTGGGATTGTGGGTCATCATCATGAACATCAATTTTATCAAAGTATAACACAGTGTTCCCATTAGAAGCTACTAACATAAGTGTACTTTCTTGATCTAGCACTAAATAATTTCATACTGTTACATTCTCTAAGTTTTTGCCTGCTCTTTCATAGTAATTCCATCTCCTTCCAGCTCTCACGCTGTAATTCTAATGCTGCTACATGCTTATTGCAGCAGCTACATACCCCACCTCTGGAACCAATCTGCTGTAAACTGGGATTCACACATAAGCTGAAATTAGTCAAAGGGGAAGGAGAAAGAGGCTCTAAACAACATTCTGAGCCTAATCAGATTTTGGAGGCATGAAGTCTCTTAATTCAATTCTTGCTTAGCCATCCCCATATTCTCCAAATAAATCTCCCTTCACAAAAGGAAAAAACTAAAGCCCAGAAAGGTTGAGCCCCTGAGTAGCAGCAGAGTGAGGATAGAACAAAGGTAACGAGACTCCCAAGTGAGAGCTCCCTCCACTCCATCCTCTTTAAGTAGGCACCCAGAGGGGCAGGGCGTCTCTCTGAGAGAAGTGAATGAGTTTTAGTGTACAGTGTGAATTGGGAGTCTAGAAGCTCTTTCAGCTTTCTTCCTGATTCCTTGTCATGTTCTACATGACTGAAATGGAACTCTAGACAACAGAGTGTAAATCTGGGCACAGAGAAGTATTTAAATCCCTAAATTAAAGCTATATTTTGCTTATTCCAATTGATGTCACCATTCATAGAGAATAAACCCTGGGAAGGCAGCAGCAACTCAGTCACATGCCTTGTTTTATACTTTATGTTCTAATGTTTAAGTGAGACTAAGTCTTCTTTTCCAGCAGAATGAGAAGCTCCTCCAGCTCAAGGCCTGTGTCACACCCCTCTCTGATATCCCTTATGGCACCCTAAAGAGTACCTGGCACATAGTTAAATGCTCAATATTCATTCATGTGATTTTTGGCAGCACTATCAGGAAGGGTTTAGGGCTCCGCACAGATGGAGTCTTCTGTTACTCACCATTTGGCCAAACATACTGCTTTGTGGATTTCTTCCCATTTTCCCCCAAAATTCTTGGACACCCACAGGCCATTCTGAAAGATTATAAATGACTTATCAAAATTCTAGCTTTATCCTGTGCAGTTGCTTGTATGACCTTTAATAATTCATATTCAATCATTCAGGACAGTAAAAACAAACACGGAAGCTCCATCAGAGCTGCCCAAGCTCCACAGATGCACACATGGCTTATCCGGACCCTTCTGGGGTCTTGCAAGTTCAGAATAACAAATGTGTATGAAGTGCCTACTATATGCAAGGCACTGTACAGATGTTGCACTGCGGATACAAAGATGAATAAGACACTCCCTGCTCTCAAGGGCTCAGAGTTTAACAAGGGGCATAGATAAGAAGAAAGTTCAACACTATGCAGAGTTATAAAATGTGGTCTGGCGTAGAAGCGGGGAGAGGAGGGGCACTACATGAGAGATAGTTTCCTGAAGAAGACAGCTGCACTGAGTTTTAAATGATGAGCAGTGGTACCAAAAGAAGGCAAACTGGGAGATGAGGTGTTGCTGCACAAATAGAGACTAGTATTAGCAAAGGCGAGGAGGTCACAAACCCTGCAGTGTGTGCAGGGAGCTAAACGCCATCAGACATTACTGGAGTGCAAATTCCAAGGTGAGCAAATGAAAAACTAACGCTAGGGAGAAAGGTGAGGCCAGCTCACAGAGAACCTTCCTTCTGTGACCCGCATAGGGCTCCGGGGTTTATTGCATATGAGGTGCTCTCAGGAGGAATGTGTGCTAAGCAGGAGGATGACACAGTCCGTTTCACTTTTTTAGGTGGAATACTTGGATGAGAATGGGAAAGATGGATTTCAGAGGGTCCAGACTACAGGCAGGAAAAGCAGTGAATGACTGCCGCATTAGTTCAATAAGAGCTAATGAGGTATGAACACTGGCCACGAGGAACAGGCTCTGTAAGAATTTAGAAGCTTGCATAGTAGAAATGGACGACTTTTCCTGCAGGGCAGGATAAAAGGTAGGGGTGTGTGTGCACACATGTGGGTCTAAGTTGGTCACTCTGGTTTTCTGGCTGGGGTACAGGATGCATTGTGATATCATTAACTAGTATAAGGATTAAGGGAAGAAGATCATGTCTGAGACGAGTAGGGAGGAAGCTCAGTTTTAAATTGATTTAAGGTGCTTGTGGGACATCCAACCAGAGATATGCCGGGGGCAGCAAGACAGAAATATGATGCACTGGGGGAAAGCCAGGGCTAGAGGTAAGCATTTGAAAATCTCAAAAATTATAGCCAGTGGTAGTAAAATGGTTAAGAGTGGAAGAGACTGCTCAGTGAAATGAGCAGTAGGCATTTAAGGGTAGGTTGAAAGGAGGTTAAGGAAATACTGAGAAGGAATAGCTAGAATGGTAGAAGAACTAAAAGGAATGAAGGTCACAGAAGTCAAACAATTAGCATTCTCAAAAGGAGGGATTGGCCAATAGTTTGAAATGCAGCAGAAACCCGAAAAAATGATGACTGACAACATGACACTGGCAATGTGAGCTTACTGAGCTCGGCCTCAGTGGAGATAGGACAGAGATGTCCTAGTCTAGCTGAAATTAAATGTAACTTATTTAGGCACAATTTACCTTCGGTACTCCTGTACTCTCACCTACCACTCTCCTTTAACTTTTTCTCGCCTGGTAGTATTCACATCCCAGTATTTCTAATTTACCTAATTCTACTTATAAAGACAAGACAGAATCTGATATCACTGATTCGTACTTTAGTACAAATTGGTCCCTCTTCTCCACCCCAATTATATGTACTTCAGACGTACCCTTAAATAAAAGAGATTTCAGGTACGGAAGTGGACTGTACCTGTCTCTTCCTGAGGACATTGCTGTTTTAATAAACCTGAGACATTTGATAAAGGAGATGCGGTGGTCAAAGGGCAGATCTGCGGGTCTGTTCATTCCTAGGGAGGGCTTCTTACTCCCTTGGAGCGCTTTCAGCTTAAGCTGCGGGAGGCCAATATCCAGGAACTGTTGTTCTAACATCTGAAGCTTACTCCCCAACAAGCTAGTTTCCTTCCTCTGGCCTCCACTGCTAAGCAAAACTCTGGCCCTTCTGGAGCCCCTCCCATCTATGCTCAAAAAATCTCCCCGCGTGGTGGCACGCGCCTGCAGTCCCAGCTACTTGGGAGGCTGAGGCAGAAGAATTGCCTGAACCCATGAGGCGGAGGTTGCAGTGAGCCGAGGTGGTGCCACTGCACTCCAGCCTGGCGCCTGGTGATGGAGCGAGACTCTGTCTCAAAAAAAAAGAAAAAAAAAGCCCCGAACCCAGACCTCTCTTCCAGTGCCCTTCATCCTCCCTATGTCACCTTTGCTCAGCCTGACTAGTTCACAGTTGATCTTGTTTCTGATCCCAAAGCAGTCAGCACAGAAATGACTCTCAAACTTTGGTGCTCAGGCTCAGCTAGGGAGCCTGTTAAAAATATTAGCCACCCTACAACAGAAGTCATTGATTTATTATATCTGGATTTGGACAAAGGGATGTGCCTCTTGAACTCGTTCCTCAGGTGTTTCTATCTGATGAGAAAAGGCCATAAAAATGTAAAGTATAATTCTGATTACAGTCTAGCAACTCAGACACTTTGGGCCCTTAACCACAGTAAAGGAGACTGGTCCTCCCGGAAAGGAGAAGCTGAATGTGTTCATCAAAGAACTTTCAGAAGAGAAGTGGTAGGGTCAGGGAGACACACTGGTTTCTGTGGAAAGTATAGGAATGTGGTGGGGAACGCAAGGATTTAAGACTCTTAATACATGAGTCTTTAAATACTCATGACATTTAATACATGAGTGTCAAAGACTGAAAGCCATATGTTTTATAAACTGAGAACCTAACAAAAAAGAAAAAAAATTAGAAAGATGTTTGATCACAGGAAAGGAACAACGATAACATCAGAAGTTTGACAATTTATGCTTGTCCCTTGTAGCACGAGAATGATTAAACTGTTTTCTAGTTCATTACTCCAATACCATATAGCGGCTTAAAAAAATTACAATGATGACTAGGCATCATACTTACCTGGAATAGATAGCACATGGAAATCATGTCCTTTACCAAATAGAAAAAAAATGTTAAAAAAAAAATACATACTTCATGCCATAAGGAGATTCTAGAAAGAAGTCTAATATAAAAGCATTTCCTACAGAGTCCTTATAAGACAGTATATTTGAGACTATAAAATGCAAAAGGTAAGCCATGTTCCTCATCTGGACTTACTTCAGTGCTGAGAGCTAAAAGATAGTCAGAATTCTGAGGGCTATACATCATCTGAGTGAGAGGATGAAAAGGGAGATCTGTTTGCACAAAATTCTTCGCAAAATCTGATGATCTGAAGATTCTTCCTCCACGACTTCCTCCAGATACTTCTGCTGTTAATACCACCTGACAGGAAGAGGAAAGATCTGATTCAGGGTATGATACTCTCTATGTAAGCACAATCTATGCAAGCACAAAAGTTCTTACACCATTTTCACCAGACATTGGTTAAGAAATTTTAGCTCTAAAAGTAAGAAGAGTTATAAAAACAGATTAGTTGCTTCCATTCTACTCCTTAGGTCTTAGTCTTATCAAAAAATAACATCTGAACTGAGTGGGGCATCGTATCTGTGAATTTAAGCCTAGGCTTGAGAGAGATTAGTTTTCCAAAAGATTAAAATGTTGTCACAGGGAATATACATTGTAATGTTAAGCAAGTGCTGCATAATTATTAAGAGTTTTGGTGCACCTTGGGCAGGGAACAAAAAAAGAAATCTGTGTGCTCAAGAGTTCCATTCTAATATGATCAGTATTAAATTGTGTTTAAGGCAGGCACAGTGGCTCATGCCTGTAAACCCCAGCACTTCAGAGGGTTGAGATGGGTGGACTGCTTGAGCCCAGGAGTTCAAGACCAGCCTGGGCAACATGGCAAAACTCTGTCTCTACAAAAAATACAAAAATTACCCAGGAGAGGTGGCAAGTGCCTGTAGTCCCAGTTACTCAAGTGACTGAGGTGGGAGGATCCCTTGAGCCTGGAAGGTCAAGCTGAAGTGAGCTGTGACGTTACCACTGTACTCCAACCTGAGGGACAGAGTGAGACCCTGTCTTAAAAAAATTGTGTTTAATTTTAACATATAAATATAGCAATACTAAACTAAAATACACTAGTGTTTTTCACTGGACCATGCCAATACTAACATCTGACAGCCCTGCGTGTGGTATCAAGCACGAGCTTTATGTATCTAAGAATGAGTCTCACCTTTCCAGAGTTCTCAGGACCAATAGCCATGCCAAATTCAGTTCGAATAAAGGTGTTATTGATGAGATTTGTAATATCCTTAAAGTTCTTTCCATAATCCTCACTGAGAGGAAGAAAAAAAGGGCAAATTTAGGGTGCAGTGGTCATGGATATTACTGAGTTCCTACCCAGCTCTCATTCCCCTTTCCACCCACCATGCCGAGAGACTCAGCTTAACCTGAACAGTCACATTCTTAGCTCCAGAGGTACCCTGATGAGTCTGAAGAACATTCCAACCCCCTCACTGGCGATGGGGGTTCAGGAATCAGGGAGTAACTCAGGATGGGCCAATGAAACAAATGGGGGTTAATTTGGGGTCTGCCTCCCACTTACGATAGCCACCTGATGGAATGGTCTATATTCCTTCAGACCAGCAGTTCTCAATCAGGGTGTTTTTGTCCCCCAAGAAACATTTGGCAATGTCTGAAGACCTTTTTTCTGAGATGATCACACTGTCACCCAGGCTGGAGTACAGTAGTGCAATCTCAGCTCAGTGGTGCAATTCCCAGGCTCAAGCGATTCTCCAGCCTCAGCCTCCTGAGAAGCTGGAATTATAGGTGTATGCCACCATGACTGGCTGATTTTTGTATTTTAAGTAGAGACAGGGTTTCACCATGTTGCCCAGGCTGGTCTTGAACTCCTGAGCTCAAAGCGATCCGCCTGCCTCAGCCTCCCAAAGTGCTGGGATTACAGGCATGAGCCACCACACCCAATCCTGGAGACATTTTTGATTATCACAATGCAGGGCTGAGGTGCTATTGGCATTAAGTGAGTAGTAGCCAGTGATATTGCCAAACATCCTACAATGCACAGGACACTCCCACAATAACAAAGAATCACCTGGCCCCAAAAGCCAAGAGTATTAAGGTTGAGAAACTCCAATGATGTAGTATTTAACACGAAGTAAAAAAGATTCGCTATCATCATTCTGTCACAATGAGAGCACAGAGAAGGTAATTCCAGAATTCCTGAGAAGCAGAGCCTATGATACTGAATTAAATTGACCCTGAAGTCTGCCATTCCTCCGTACTTAGTTACAGAATCAACTATTCCCTTATTATTCAAGTTAGTTAAGGTGGGAATCTATGCAAAGTGTAGCCAAAGGCTTCCTAACTAATCCATTAATCCACAGTACTTATGAAAAAACTGTAAGTAGGTCTTGAAGCTGTAACGTCTAAAAGTTTTTTTTCCCCCTAGAAGCTACCATCCCTAGGCACAAGTCTGTACGGCATTCAGTACACGAAATGCAGCTAGGAAAAAACAAACAAACTTAATCTCAACTCTCAGGGTTTCAAAGCTTTTTCCAAAAGTTCATTCCAACATTATCTTTGAGAAGTATTTGAATCAATGTTTAGATTCTGGGAAGTAAGAGCAAAAATTCCATAGCTGTCTAACCCTGACAAGTTTAATACTATGCATAGCTCTCTTACACAACACACAATGCTAAATCTTAATGTTCATTAAAGTATCCATCAATGGAGACAACTGTGCACTGCAAATTTTTGCCCACAGATAAATGTAATCTGCAGTGGTGTTCAATGATAGAATACAGTCATGTGTTGCATGAAGATGCTTTGGTCACCAACAGACTGTTTATATGATGGTGAGTCCAGACGATTACAGTACTATATTGTTACCATGCCTTTTCTGTGTTTAGATATACAAATACCACTGTGTTACAGCTGCCTACAGTATTCAGTACAGTAACATGCTGCACAGGTTTGTAGCCTAGGAACAACAGGTTATACCATATATCTGCAGTGTGTAGTAGGCTATACCGTTTAGGAGTAAGTAAGTACACTCTGATGCTTGCACAATAATGAAATCACCTAATGATGCACTTCTCAGAATGTATCCCCAACAGTAAGTGAAGCTTTAATGTACATCATGTAAATGGATGTTGCAGGTCTTCGTAGCAGCCTCAACAAATAAAGAATCGCGGAACCCTGGGCGATGTAAGGGACTGAAGTGAACATCTTGTCCAACTCCCTCATTTCACAGATGAGGAGTTACAAGGGAAGGTGATTTATCAAAAGTCAAATCGTTAATTAAAGGCAAAAATGAAACTATAGACCAAGTCTCTGAACTCTTAGCCCTAGACTAGAGGCAACTCTTAATTATCTGTGAGGACTTTTCCCTTACAAACTGGGGTCTTCCTCTATCTTGCTGGGGGCTTATGACCTGGCAGAAGAGATAAGCTAAAAGAAAGTAGAAGACAGGAGGGAAGTATACATGCAAGTATGTAGGGGTCCCTGATAATATGTTAAAGCAAACTACATATGTCTAAGTTGTCTGAATGGCTCTATCTTTCCTTAAGTACATATATACACACAGAAAATTCCTAGATAAATGAAACAGGCATTGGACACCACCCAACAGAATCCTATATTATTACCCTTCCTTTGGCTTTGGAGTAGAAGATCAGCTCTTATCTTCCTGACAGCTGGCCAAGAGATGTGCATAAACAATTCCCAGCTCTAGAGTGCATATATTATCAACAGCCCTGTAAGCCTTCCAAAGGGGTGAAGCAGCCTGATTATCACTAGTTTACAAATCTGTCCTCTTCCATGACATCCCCCAGGGAATCTCCACAAACCTGTTGGCAAGCCTGGTTGCTCTTTAAGAACTTGGCACAACAAACACATCCCTGCCCTTCAGAAAAAGAAATCAGCATGAGCAAAACAAAAAATCACCTGCTACAGCACTCTGATACTTTAGTCAGTTAAACAAATAGAGAAAATGAACTAGTATCAACCTGCTGGGACTTAAGTAGGGTTCCAGCAAGGCCACTTTGGGCCCAGGTGTATATTTTTAACATAATACTTTATTTAAATATAGGTTTATTTTCTATCAGCATACATATCAGCATATAACATACATCATGAAGAGGAAATCAATGAAGCAACTTTGGTTAATAAAGCTACTTTTCAAATTCCGTATGATAATTAATATGAACAGCTGTCAAATGTCAAGTAAATGATTAAAACCCTGTGAAACCAACTGCTTTAGAAACAAATCTTTTTGGCCAGGTGCAGTGGCTCATGCCTGTGATCCCAGCACTTTGGGAGGCTGAGGCGGGTGGATCACGAGGTCAGGAGCTCAAGGTCGGCCTGGCCAAGATGGTTAAACCTCATCTCTACTAAAAATATGAAACTTAGCCAAGCGTGGTGGTGTGTGCCCATAACCCCAGCTATTCAGGAGGCTGAGGCAGGGAACTGCTTGAACTCGGGAGGTGCAGGTTAGAGTGAGCCGAGATCACACCACTGCACTCCAGCCTGGGTGACAGAGTGAGACTCTATCTCAAAAAAAAAAGAAAGAAAAGAAAAAAAACAAGTCTTTTTAATAACAATTCTATGCATCAACACTAATATCCTCTTTCTGGTTACCAAAAATAAATGATCACTTTTGCATGGATCCATGGTGTAAACATGCACATGTTTATAACTCAAGAAAATAAAGCTAAAATACAAATCTATTTGGAACAGAGCTTATCTTAGCTTGGGCTGCTATAAGAGAATATCATAAACTGGGTGGCTTATAAACAGCAAACATTCATTTCTCACAGTTCTGGAGGTTGAGAAGTCCAAGATGAAGGTACCAGCAGATGTGCTGTCTAGTGAGGGTCTGCTTCCTGCTTCATAGATTGCCCTCTTGTCACTGTAACCATACATGACAGAAGGGGCAAGGGAGCTCTCAGGGGCTCTCTCTTATACGGGGACTAATCCCACGGGTAAAGGTTCTTGCCCTTATGACTTAATCACTTCCCAAAGGTCCCACCTCCTAATACCATAGCATTAGGGGTTAAAATTTCAACACGAGTTCAGAAGGAACACAAACATTCAGTATATGGCATCCTGACACACCCACCCTGCCCCTCCACTCCACTACTCCAAACTCATGTACTTTTCACATGTAAAATACATTCATTACATACCAACATCTCAAGTCTTTTTTTTTTTTTTTTTTTGAGACAGAGTTTTGCTCTTGTTGCCCAGGTTGGAGTGCAGTGGCACTATCTCAGCTCACTGCAACCTCTGCCTCCCAGGTTCAAGTGATTCTCCTGCCTCAGCTTTCTAAGTAGCTAGGATTACAGGCATGTGCCACCATGCCCAGCTAATTTTTGTATTTTTAGTAGAGACAGGGTTTCACCATGTTGGCCAGGCTGGTCTCAAACTCCTGACCTCAGGTGATCCACCCTCCTCAGCCTCACAAAGTGCTGGGATTACAAGCGTAAGCCACCGTGCCCGGCCTAAAAGTCTTAACTTGTTCCAGCATCAACTGTAAAGTCTAAAATCCAAAGTGTCATCTCAATGTCATCTACATCAGATAAAGGTGAGACTCAAGAAGGTATGATTCATCCTGAAGCAAACTGCTCTTCAGTTGTGTACCTGTAAAACCAAACTAGTTATGCACTTCCAAAATACAATGGTGAGACAGGCACAGTATAGACATTTCCATTCCAAAAAAGGGAAATGGGAAAAATGAAAAGGGACTTTACGTCTAAAATACAGGCAAACTTCATGAGATATATTTATCTCAATACTTTTAAAGAGTAGTCTTAAGGGCAGGCATGGTGGCTCACTCCTGTAATTCTAGCACTTTGGGAGGCCAAGGTGGGAGGATTACTCGAGGCCAGGAGTTTGAGACTAGCCTGGGCAACATGGTGAAATAACATCTCGACAAAATATACAAAAAATTAGCCAGGACGGTGATTTCCAGCCTATAGTCCCAGCCACTCAGGAGGCTGAGGCAGGAGGATCACTTGAGCCCAGGAAGTCGAGGCTACAGTGAGCAAAGATCATAAGCCACTGCATTCCAGCCTGGGCAACAGTGCGAGACCCTGTCTCAAAAATAAGTAAATAAAGAGTAGGTCTTGCTCTGCCACCCAGGCTGGGGTGCAATGGTGTGATCATAGCTCACTGTAGCCTAGAACTCCCAGGCTCAAGCAATTCTTCTGCCTTAGCCTCCCAAGTAGCTGGGACTACAGTCATGTGTCACCATACTCAATTTCTTTTTTCTTTGGTAGAAATGGGTCTCACTTGTTGCCCAGGCTGGTCCCAAACT